AGAAATCCTTCCTGCTGAAAATGGGCCAAAAAGAGTCCATCCAAGATATTCCAAAACTACTGCCTGCAAGGATAGTGAAACAAAGAAGTATGTTTCAGAATTGAATTCTAAGAATCTTCCCAGTAACTCTATTACACATTTCAGAGATACTGAAACTACCGATGAAGGTGATGTTGATGGAAATGGAGATGAATGTCGCCTATGTGGCATGGATGGGACCTTGCTTTGTTGTGATGGTTGTCCTGCTGTTTATCATTCAAGATGTATTGGTGTGATGAAGATGTATATACCAGAAGGGGCATGGTATTGTCCGGAGTGCAAAATAAATATGATCGGGCCTATAGTTGCGCGGGGTACAGCACTTAAAGGAGCTGAAGTATTTGGAAAAGATTTGTATGGACAAGTTTTCATGGGTACTTGCAACCACTTATTGGTGTATGTTGACATCTCTTGCGTTTCTTTCACTCCTTCATTTGTTATACTGGATGATTCCTGGCGTCACTTTGAATTTGTGGTTTGGTTTTTCTATTTACCTGTTTTACTTTTTACTCTTTCTTACTTTCGAAGCACCTAAAATTTTGAGGCTTGATCTTTTATGATTGCAGGCTCAATGTCAACAGTGATGAATTTTGTCTTAAATACTACAATCAGAATGACATTCCTGAAGTTCTACAAGTGCTTCTTGCATCATTGCAACACAGACCAATATATAATGATCTTTGCATGGCAGTGTTACAATATTGGAATATTCCTGAAAGCTTCTTACCCCTTTGTGTCACAACCGGACCACACGTAAACTCAACAAATACAAAGACAGATATGAACATCTCTACTGCATTTCTCCATCCTATGGTCGAAGAAGACCATAAAGCTGTTAGTTTAGTGAAGCCAGAACACAGTTTAACCCTTGCAAATGGGATTTGTAGTGATAATACGGTGACATCATTGGTTACCAGTCAAAGTTCTGTTCCTGGAAGCAGTGGCATTTCAAGAACTAAGGACTCCTCTACTGTGAATTTGAAGCTTCATGACGAAACTACAATGGATTCAGTTGTTTCGACTGTTAACCATCAATCTGACCCAAAGTACCAAAATTCTGTTGATATGTCAGCTGCAGTAGGTCCTTCCAGGTGCTCCATGGTAAGCAGCCAATTTAATAATGATGGGCACATAAATGGCACAGGACTGCCTACGAAATTGTCGTCGCAAACTAGAGGTGACCAAGCTGCTTTTGGGAAGTGCAAAGGCAGTTTAACCAATGATTTTGTGTACATGGGTTGTTCCTATAAACCACAGTCATACACTAATTACTATATGCATGGTGATTTTGCTGCATCCGCTGCTGCTAACTTGGCCGTTCTTTCTTCAGAGGATTCTAGATCAGAGGGTCATGTGTCTGACAACTTGGGGAAAGCAACATCTGGAAACACTTATTTGCTAGCAAAAGCATTCTCACTAACGGCTTCACGCTTCTTTTGGCCAAGTTCCGAAAAGAAGCTTGTGGAGGTACCAAGAGAGAGGTGTGGCTGGTGCATTTCTTGTAAAGCCTTTGTTTCTAGCAAGAAAGGATGCATGCTAAATCATGCTGCTCTAAGCGCCACCAAAAATGCAATGAAAATCCTTTCTGGTCTTGCTCCTGTCAGGAGTGGAGAAGGAATCATCCCTAGCATTGCAACATATATTATATATATGGAGGAAAGTTTACGTGGATTAATAGTTGGGCCCTTTCTAAGTGAATACTGTAGAAAGCAATGGCGTAAACAAGTGGAACGAGCCACATCATTTGGTGATTTAAAGCCCCTTTTACTCAAAGTGAGTGATTATTATTATTTTTACATTAAGGAGACTTGCTATTTTATCATGTATTGTCAGAAAAGTTGGCCTTTGATGCTTTTCTAATTCCCTTCTTCCAAATAAATAGTACAAAGATATTTTCAATTATTTATGATAGAATAAATCTAATTCCTAATTTGTAGGAAGTCTAATTATATGCAATAAATAAATTGATTGTTATTCCTAAAATACATAATATATAATAGGAAATAGTAACAGTAATTTATTTCCCCATTAACATCTCCCCTCAAATTGATGCGGCTGATCAAGAAGTATCAATTTGTGAACTAGAAACTGTTTATAACTATTATCATTGTCCAGCCTCCAGATATATTGTTTTTATGTATAGTAAATATTTTTTAACATTACTTGCACCTGTTATATGAGCAAATTTGTAAATAATTTGTTAATTGGTTAATGAGATTGTAATTTTCAGCTTGAGGAGAACATTCGAACAATTGCCTTATGTGGGGAGTGGGTGAAGTTGGTGGATGATTGGTTGGCTGAATTTTCTACTATGCAAACTACTGCATGTACTCTTGGAACAACACAGAAACGTGCAACATGCGGGAGGCATAAGAAACAGTTATCTATAAATAAAGTTACAGCCGTTGGTTGTCATGAAAATTTTACATGGTGGCATGGTGGGAAATTTACCAAATCTGTATTTCAGAAAGCTGTTTTGCCAAAATCCATGGTCAGAAAAGCAGCCCGCCAAGGTATTCTTAAGTACATAGTATACCATTCTCAACCGCAACTAGTTTATTAGCTAAATAAATTGGATTGATGCTTGTTTAGTCAATTATTGATTAACCATGAGAACTGAAATGAAAAGCCTTTTCCCAAGCCACACCAATTGTTCATTTCCATTTAATTTTTATATTAAATTATAAATTATTGTTAATTTCTAAATTTATTATTAATATATTACATTACATTAATAAATAGTATATAATTAATTTATTTAGCTGGTGAACTTTCAAGTAAAAAATCAGGGGTTAAAAAATGTGTATACCAAACTTGAATTTGATACAATTTGCATATACAAATCCTTTTATAGTTTTATTTGATTCATTGATTGCCATCCTGTCCACCCCTACCTGCTGGCAACTATTTGTCAATTGCTTTCAAGTAATTTAAATTTGTTTGGGAATAAAAGCACACGCATTGACTCTTGTGGGCAACAGGTGGTTCCAGGAAAATTTTGGGTGTATTCTATGCTGATGGCTCTGAGATTCCCAAACGAAGCAGACAGCTAGTTTGGAGAGCTGCAGTTCAAATGAGTAGGAATGCATCACAGCTGGCACTTCAGGTATCCTTTTATTTATTATATAGTTTTGTTTTCTGCATTAGCATTTTTTTTTTTTGCATTAGCATGTTGGGTTCGGCAATAATATGATTATTTGCATCAGGTTCGGTATCTAGATTTTCATATCAGATGGAGTGATCTGATTCGTCCTGAGCATAACCTCCAGGATGGGAAAGGTCAAGATACTGAAGCTTCTGCTTTTAGGAATGCAAATATTCGTGATAAAAAAATTGTAGAGGGCAAAATTTTTTACAGAGTAGCCTTTGGGAGTCAAAAGCATCTTCCTTCTCGGGTAATGAAAAATGTTGAAATAGAGCAAGGTCCTGAAGGAAAGGAAAAATATTGGTTTTCCGAAATGCGCATTCCTTTGTATTTGGTAAAAGAGTATGAAGTACGCAATGGAAAAGTGCTCCCTGATAAAGAGTACCTGCATACATTTCAGTTGCACAAAAGGCGTTATAAAGCTACCTACAAGGACATATTTTTTTACCTTACCTGCAAGAGAGACAAATTGGACATGTTATCTTGCTCTGCATGTCAGCTGGGTGTTTTAATTGGGTAATTACCTTAACCTGGTTCTTCTTTTGTTCACGTTTATGTGCTATTCCTTTCTTCTTTACAACTGTTTTTTTCTAAGACCACAGTTTTTCTCTTGGTTTAATTTCAGGAATGCTCTCAAGTGCAGTGCCTGTCAAGGTAGTAACCCTTGAATGATTCGTCATTCTTTCACTTATTTTGTATGCTGTCATGAAGTTTTAAAAAAATATTGAAATGAGATATCCCAGTATCTTATAAAAAGAATCATATCGAGATCTTTCAGTTTCTTATAAAATGAATCATCCTGTTCCATAGAACAAATACACATGAATGCCCATACATAAAGAATCTACCCATTGTAAGGGTTTTCAAATTGGAATCCAAAATTTTATGTTGGTTAGAGTGGTATGGGGTTTATTTGGTTTGTATTTTGTATCTTGCTTCTCTATTTAGTTCGACTTTGTATCTTGGTTTAATGTTTTGTTTCATTTCATATGGGCTTTAGGTTATTGTCACATGGGTTGTTCCATAAGTTCAACAGTGTCTACATGTGAAGAAGTTGAGTTCTTAGTCACATGTAAACAATGTCATCATGCCAAATTACTTACCCAGAAAGAGTCCTGTAATGAATCTCCAACTAGTCCGTTACTCTTACAACGACAAGAACACAGTTCTATGACAGATTTGAAGGTTCCAAGGTCTAAATGTAATGGTCAAGGATTGATGTCCACTAGGATGAAGAATAGTCGACCTGATATGAAACAAGTTGCTTCTAATTCCCTTTCGGAAACAAAAGGCCGTAGCAGAAATTGTTCTTGGGGTATTATATGGAAAAAGAAGAATATTGAAGATACGGGCTTTGATTTCAGGCTCAAGAACATACTTCTGAAGGGAGGTTCAGGCCTGCCTCAATTGGAGCCTGTTTGTCGCTTGTGCCATAAACCATATAGGGCTGATCTAATGTATATTTGCTGTGAAACATGCAAATGTAAGTTTTTTTTTTTTTTTCTAGTTAATAATTTGATTACATTTTCAACTGCTTCCTACCCTTTATTTATGTCATCTCTGTTGAGTTTTACAGATTGGTATCATGCTGAAGCTGTTGAACTTGAAGAGTCCAAACTTTTTGATGTGCTGGGCTTCAAATGTTGCAAGTGTCGCAGAATAAAGTCGCCTGTGTGTCCGTACTCTGATTTGTTGCTCAAGACGCAAGAGGGCAAGAAGTCACAGACCAGGGCTTCAAAGAAAGAGCACTTAGGGGCAGATTCTGATTCTGGTACGCCTATTGACATGAGAGCATGTGAGCCTGCAACTCCTATCTATCCTGCAGAGGATGTGTCGAGACAAGACAATGATCATCTGCTTTTCTCCCTTTCAAATGTTGAGCTGATTACCGAACCCAAGTTAGATGCAGATGTTGAGGGTAATACTGTCTCTGGTTCAGGGCATCCGAAGTTACCTTTGAGAAGGCAGTTTAAACCTGAGAGTGATTTTAGTGGTAATCTTCATGCTAGCAATGAAATGGTGTCCAAATCTGTAAAAGATTTATCACCTTCTGTAGAATATGGCTCTGCTGACTGCAATCTTCTTCTGAATGGCTCTGAAATTGTAAAATATGAATTGGTAGATGATTTTGAGCCTCATAAATACTTCTCTCTGACTGGACGGCTCCGCTCAGATAATAATAGTCAATTTGAGGAAGCTAGTGCATCTGGGGACTTCTCAGGATATTTGAAAAATTCTTGTACATTAGGTGTTCCTGAAGAATGTAGGACTGTTAATCTTGCATCCAACTGTGGACCTACAATTTCGTTACAAGAAAATGTTAATAATTGTGAGCAATGTTCAAAAAAGGAACCTGCCCCTGATCTCTGTTGTGAGATTTGTGGTATTTGGATTCACAGCCAATGTTCACCTTGGGTTGAATCACCACCTAGGCTTGGAAGTTGGAGATGTGGTAATTGCCGGGAATGGAGATAGCATACAAATTTTGACAGGCAATTTTAGCATTAATCATACAAGCTGGCTCAGTATATGTTTGCATTGATTGGTTCAGCTATATACCATTGGCGCAGAACTTGGGAGCAAATATGTTGTGCGCTTTCAGATGTTAATTGGCTGGCAGCGGCAGGTTGCTAAGAATTATTTTACCGCTCAAATGATATTGCGGCCTCCCTACGATTGATTGATAGTCTTTGAGCAATTTTGACTTGGACAGGTTCCCAACCTGCTGACAGATTGGTTGAATGATCAGGAACCATATCGGTGTATACTCCCTAGTTGCACTATTGCACGATTTATAGAAATTTGCTCTGATCACGAGAGGAGGATAAGCAGATTTTAATGTTGCTTATCTGACACAATTATTTGTATAGATACACATTTTTTTGGAGGTCGGTCAAAATTGAAACCTTCACCTCGGATCATAGCTCAAGCTGTGACATGCCTTGAGAGCTCCTCTTTCTGCCGGCCCCACCAAAAGTTATTCTTTACCCTTACTGCTCTGTACAACCGCTTTCTTTCTGCTTAATATTCATTCCCTAGGCGCCTCAGTATTCTACTAGTATACTATTGAACATAGGTTTTATGAGTGAAGTGTTTATCATGAATTTGAGAGATGTTTGCAATATCAGTTGAAATTTATTAAAAAAATTACAAAGGTCGTGTTAGGAGTCTTAGGACTTAGGAAGGTATTGCTAGCACCGTGTTTATTTTACGTTTAGTCTATTACAGTGAATGTTTGAATTTAGTCTAACTTTTCAAATGAATTAACATTTCTAATTTCTAATTTTTATGAATAAGTTTTTCTTTCTTTTGCGTATTAAAATTTTTTAAACTTGATTTCTTTAAATCATCACAAATTAAATTAAATGATTTCAAACCTTGTTTGAACTTTATCAATTAAAATATCAAACTTTGTGCAAGATAAATTTAAATGTTATTATATTTTTTATTTTTACTGAATGAGTTCAAAAATTTAAAATTTGTTTAAATATTTAATATTAATCATTTTTAACTACTTAAATAATTTTGTTACGATAATGACTTGATTTATTAAAAACATTTAAGATATTAGAAGTAAACAATTCAAACTAGTGATAGAAATTAAAAAAAGAAAAGGAGTATGAACATCTATGCAAATTCCTTTCAGCTTTTGATTCGCGGTTCGCATTAATAAGCTACGGCCTAAGGGCATACAGGAGCTTCAATAAATTTGCTTCACATGCCACAACCGTCTTGTGTATATATATTTTAATATCTAAGTAGTCGTCTCCATTTTAATATAATCATAAATATAATGGCCATTGCGGCCTTCATTTAACTCCATTTATGAAATTTCTCTAAATAAAGAGAACCGAAATATCTTGACTCGAGTGGTTTGACTATGATTAGTTTCATATTTCACAAATCAACAAAACTTCCATTTCCATGAATTTCACAAACCTTAATGTTTTTTTTTATGAAACATTTAATTTATTGAAAGATACAATGGTACAGAAACATCAATAAAAATAATAATAAAACCAAGTTTTACTTTTCACTTGAATCATTTCTTTTTATCTCTCCCCTATTTCTACCCGGATGTTTGTTAGACATTAAATAAGAAATAAAGTTAACTAAAACTTTTATTATAATATGAATAATTGACTCCAAACTGTTAGATTTTCACATCCACGTTAAACTTATTCAGGAAACAATGTTTTTATAGAAATATAACTTTTTAAATAATAAACTAAGCATCATATTAATTTCTAGCAAGTACTCCCTTAAGCTAAACACCTTTATTTTTACAATATTTCTCACTTATTTAGTCATTTTCATTCAGCTTTTATCAATCATTTTTCATCCAATTTTCCGTCTATTTATTTATTTCCTACCTACACACCTAGGTTTCGTGTTTCTAATATACTGAGCAATTACTGCTTAATTTATATCATCACGATGGATACAAATGAGCAGCAAAGTGCACATAAAAAATTATAATTGATTTACAGCAAAAAAGATGAATAAAAAAATGAGGAGCAGTGTTTCTCTACAGATACAACCCGAGACATTTAAAGCAAATAGCAATGCAATACATACCAAGATGTACTTGGTTTCTCAACATTTAATTTAGTAAGAAATAATGTCACTGTAACTTGTCAAGTATAATAGTATGCTTGCCATTCAGTATTCACACACTTCCAATAAACGTATTTTCCATTAATTAAATAATTAAAATAATCGATTACTTGACTTTTCAGTTCAGTCGTAAAAGCTCCACAAAAATTTTAATAAGACATTCTCTTGACACTTTAATATCAAATAAATTTTATACAAACCAGATTAAAAGATGAAAGATGAATATAATTTAATAAAATTTACTCAATAATAAAATATATGTATTTTTTATTTCTTAAATTCTTAAATATCATATAAATATTCTATTAACCACACTCTGGACATTTTTTTTAAGGTAAAACAAGATCTCTTGACCTCTTGGCTTTTGCCCACGTAATTATTTGCTTTAAGACAAGAATGATCTCCATTAGTGATACCAACCATCTACTTGTTTGTCAATTGACGAGAATAATTGCTAATTTTATTTTCACTAAGGATTACGTGATTGAACATTTTACTACAAAAAGATTCTAGTATTAGGGTAAATGCAAAATGATCTTCTCCCATGCTTATATCGGTACCCTAAACAAAAGAATTTGTTACTAGACCATGCCTAGTCATAAAAAACTTAAAATTTCCCTTGAACATATCTAACATAACTAAGTTACAAAACATTGGATGACCATACATATAAAATTGAGATTATAGAAAAGAAAAAGAGGTATGGTTTATTAACATAACTAAGTTACTAAACAAAAGAGGTATGGTTCTATTTTGATGACATCAGGATGGCCAATAGATGAAAAAATGATGAGAGCTTCACTTCTTGATTTGGTGAGAAAGAACCTTTTTCCTCCAAGACATGAATTTGCCTAGCCTAGCCAACTTTGGATAAAACTTTCAAAAAGGCGAAATTGAAAACATTCATTGTACGCCACTCAATTTGGCCCAGTCTACGAACTGCATGCCACCATAGATGTTGTTACCAAATCTCACACCTACAGTGAATGCCATTGCAACAAGTGGGACCCTCTTTGCCACTGGAGATGCCTCAACAAGGCTTTCAAGTCCATTGATAATTTGATAACGAGTGTTGGATGACACAGCAAGAAAGAATCCTGATCATGAGAAGGAAAACCAATGAAGAAAATTAAGTATCAATGGTAAAAATCATAAAGTGGACTAAAATATTAGTAAATCTTTACTAATTTTATTCTATTTATTGATATCATATCCAAAATATCCTTCATTTACTTGAGATTCTATTTCCAACGATCCTTTTTTATTCTTAATATCAAGCTTCACTGAAGGTAGTTTTTAAGAAAATAAAATATTTTTTTAAATAATATCAACTTTGTTAATTAGTGCATAAATTAGTTAGTTTTGTTTATACTTGAGGATGGAGGGAGTTTTGTTTCAAGTCGTATATGATATGTTTATTGACTTTTATATTAACTATCTTAAAAGTCATAAAAATGATAGAGTATAGAAATTAAACTCTAGCTTATGTTTCTCTCGTCTACCAACTAAATAACAGAAGATCGTGGTAATCCTCTGTCCATCTTGCCAGCAAGCCAATCAAGAAATAAATACTTTATTGAAAATAATAGAAACAACCTTTTTCTTTTAATAAAAGATAAATGAAAACGGCATTAACATAGAAACCTTTTTCTGAAATTAAAATTCAGGCATTTTTTCCGACTCTTAATACAGCCAAGCCAACCACAAGAAACTGAATAAAATAAAGCATAACACATTGGAGACAGAAATTCTGAATAAACGGGACAAGACATACCCCAAAGAGCAGCACTTTGCAGAAGAGGAGGCACAGGTATGTCATCTTCAGATTTGTTAATGCTCCTGTCGCAAATAAACCAAGATTCCTTACATAATGTACAAAAGAAAAAATGACACTGACAAACCCTCATAAAAGAAAATGCATTTGTAAATGTGCCTAAAAACAGATTCAAGCATTTATGATAATAATGTAGCCAACAAAAGAATTGGTCAATATGATATATGTTATAAAATTAATCAACAGAAGCAATCCTGATAGGCATACCTTTTGGCATTCATGATCATATTTGCGATTCCTTGACCAATAATACCACATCCAAAGCCAACTGATCCATATAATGCACCCTGAACACATAATGTCAGGTATTCGCAAGAATAAACTATCACCAGAAACGAAGTAAAAATTCAAACAAAGATAGCAGTATAGCATCATAACTAAGATCAAAAGAAATGGATGCATACTATTCCATGCAGTCAAATAACCTATATTCTGCAATAAATTAAATAGTTATTTATCGGTTCAAGTTTCAGAACACAGGACACCTTGTAGAAGTATGTGGCAAGGCGCTGCATCACAGAGAATTTACATCCTGGCCTTTCAGCTTCAAAAACACTGCATTCAAATAGTAATTCAGTATCATATCAATAATTTGACATTCAGTTAGAACTCTGAAAAGTATGGAGATGTTTATAATCAATTTTATAACAACTAAAAATTTCACTAGGCATAATCAAGGGAGAGAAAACAAATTCTTCCGGGGGTTCCTTGAAGAATCATTCTTCATAATTACTATAAACAAGGAATCAAAATTTAAGAAGTGAATTGCTAAATAACACCAGCCTCCATTTACAATTTCACAGAATTAATGGTTCTTTACACACCGAATACAACAAAGTCATCAAATGCCTTATCCACAAGGTGAGGTTGATTACATGGATCACACAACATCATTCTAAGATACATTACGTTTGCTATATCAAAGATGCACAAAAATGGTGACATTGAACTGAAATAGAATTCACACATTGGGACAAAACCGACAAATCATGACAATCACACATTGAGATAACACTATTGAATTCACAAGATTTCCACCCCTTTGCAAACACTAACCTGCTAGGAAGGGCAGCACAGGCGTGCTGAATTTGTCCAAGCAAACCTTTAGACAGAGAAGGCTTGCCAATTCGAGCATAGGGTGCTAAAAGACCCACCAAAGCAATGTCAACAACCACTCCAACCAGAAGATCAGCAGCGTACAACTCAAATTCAGCCCAAAAATCCTTGCCCCTCTTCTGCATCTCTGCAAACGTTGCACAACAGGAGTCTATAACAATCTACACAAGCCAAAACAAGGATAATCAAGTCAAAACATCAAATCCAAACAAACAAACTAAAATAAAAGCATTCAATCAAGTTCACATTAGGTTTTAAAAAACAGTCCACCACTGGTATTTCAGCCCCAACATCAAGGTTTTTGGAGTCTCTGTCATTGCAACAGAACCACAATTGTGGCCACATTCGCTATATTTGATCGCAATTTCTTACAATTTCAAGGAACAATGATGAAAAAGCCACAATGAGACCGCAATTTAAAAGCTTCGTTCACATCACAAGCACAACCGTATTATGATACTGTACCATCCGGGTCGGATTCCGACTGGCAAATGTGGCCCGACCCGATCTCACTTTAGCCCTCTAGCCTTATAGGCTCAGGGCTGGAAGGCAAGTGTACCTTCCCGGTCGTATTCCGACCTGTTTTCCCATTCAGCAATAAGGTCGAGCAGGATCTTCTGCTCGGCATTAACCCGATTGAAGGGCCAGCACAGACCTAGTCGGTCATAACCCGATTAGACCTGCCAGTTGGATTTCCCCACCTATAAGGGGATTACTCGGCATCTACCCGACTGGACCCTCGGTCGGAGTCCGACTGACTCGTCCCCACTAACTCCGTGCCCTCGTGATAAGAACGGTTAGGGAAATCCCTTCATTCTCGGGGCTCAAGAGGCCCATGAACGACGTATCATAAAACCCAAAACCCTAGAGTTGAACAAGCAGATTTCACTTTTGAATGCTCTGACTCGGAGGCTTGATCTAGGAAAAAACCCTAGTCCACCCTTTGGCCGGAACAGATACCAATACAACAATTCAGTTGGGACATAATTTTGAGTAAATTACTCCAACACTACCTGAAGTTTTGGGAAATTGCACAAACATCCCTTACTTTTTCTATCCCTGCACTCCTTATACATTACATTAACCTCCCTTAATTATTTTAAAAAATAAATAAATTGTTCCGGCCAAGGGGTGCGCTAGGGTTTCGTCCTAGGTCGACCCTCAAAGCCAGAGCATTTAAAAGTGTGATCTGTCTGTCTCAACTCTAGGGTTTTGTGGTACGTCGTTCATGGGCCCCGAGAATGAAGGGATTTCCCTAACCGTTCTTATCTTGATGGCGCGGGGTTAAAGGGAACAAGTCTAGTCGGGTTCTGACCGACTGGGTCCATGCCGAGGACCCAGTTGGATTAATGCCGAGTAGTCTCCTTAGTCCTTATAGGTGAGAGGAATCGAGTTCGCAGGTGAGTCGAGTCATGACCGACTAGGCCTGTGCTGAGCCCTTAGTCGGGTTAATGCCGAGTAGAAGACCATGGTCGCCCTACTGCCGAATGGAGGTGCAGGTCGGATTGCGACCTGGACGGCACACTTGCCTTCCAGCCCTGAGCTGAGAAGGCGAGTGGGCTTGTGGCCTGATACACTAGTCGAGGATTACCCGAGCGGAAGGTCAAGTCGGATTTTGACCTAGACGATACAGATAGTATGTGTTAAATGTTTTGGTTATATCAAGCTATCATTAAGAAAGATAATTAGTCGATTAACCATCTCGCAAAGTCTGTCCAGCTTCTGGTCCCTGAGTTCATCGCGCTTCTTGAGGTGAAGGTCTTTCAGGGAGTGTGCGACGGCGGTGCCGATGACGGAGACAATGAGGACGCGGTGGAGAGGAGGAAAGAGGTTCCATGCCACGGCTTGCTCGGCGCTTAAGCCCTCGCCGATGGCGCGCGCCGCGCTGGCTTCGTCGGCGTGGAGAAGTCGTCCCTCCGATATCCGCGCCATTGGGACAGGGCTCCACGCCGACGAAGCCAGCGCGGCGCGCGCCATCAGCGGGGGCTTAAGCGCCGAGCAAGCCGTGGCATGGAACCTCTTTCCTCCTCTCCACCGCGTCCTCATTGTCTCCGTCATCGGCACCGCCGTCGCACACTCCCTGAAAGACCTTCACCTCAAGAAGCGCGATGAACTCAGGGACCAGAAGCTGGACAGACTTTGCGAGATGGTTAATCGACTAATTATCTTTCTTAATGATAGCTTGATATAACCAAAACATTTAACACATACTATCTGTACCGTCCAGGTCAAAATCCGACTTGACCTTCCGCTCGGGTAATCCTCGACTAGTGTATCAGGCCACAAGCCCTCTCGCCTTCTCAGCTCAGGGCTGGAAGGCAAGTGTGCCGTCCAGGTCGCAATCCGACCTGCACCTCCATTCGGCAGTAGGGCGACCATGGTCTTCTACTCGGCATTAACCCGACTAAGGGCTCAGCACAGGCCCAGTCGGTCATGACTCGACTCACCTGCGAACTCGATTCCTCTCACCTATAAGGACTAAGGAGACTACTCGGCATTAATCCGACTGGGTCCTCGGCATGGACCCAGTCGGTCAAAACCCGACTAGACTTGTTCCCTTTAATCCCGCGCCATCAAGATAAGAACGGTTAGGGAAATCCCTTCATTCTCGGGGCCCAAGAGGCCCATGAACGACGTACCATAAAACCCAAAACCCTAGAGTTGAGATAGACAGATCACACTTTTGAATGCTCTGACTTTGAGGTTCGACCTAAGACGAAACCCTAGCGCACCCCTTGGCCGGAACATAAACACATTACACTATGACCCCATATAAAAAGGTTATCGTAAACTTTAAAAGTAAGAGGTGTATGTGTAATTTCATGAAACTTCAAGGGATGTCCGAATAATTTACTCCATAACTTTCCCATGTACCCGAAACAAACCTCGGTTCCAACTTTGAATAGAAAAGAAGGGTCCGCCAGCATTCGATTTCTCAACATAGAACAATGCTGCATCAGAAAAGACAGTGGCCAAGACGAACCCTGCAATAACAACAACAAAAAAGAGGCAAATTGAGTGCAAGCAGGGAAGAAAGAAAAATCGATTTTGAACCCAAAAATCAAAACTTTTTGAAAACCCACCTGCAACTCCAAGTAACGAAAAAGAAACATTTCCCGAATGCCAGTGGTCCTCGCTGCCTCCACCATATCCGGAGGCAACTTCACGCCACGAGCTTCTGATTCTCTCAAAACCTCTTCAAACTTCAACAAGGGTCCGAATTCTTCATCTCCTTCTCCACCCCCGTCACCGCCACCATATCCGGCTCCACCGTCACCTCCACCTCCGCCGCCGCCGAAATCGGGTTGATCGTGATTGGTTTGTAGCAATAGGGATTGCGGGGGAACGCAGTGGATCCTGAAGGGGCGGTTGGTGAGGTGCAGAACGATGGGTGGGGTGTGGGGAAAGTGACAAGTGTTGAATTGGGGGAGTGGCCACGTGGCGGCGCTGTTGGAGATGGTGAAGGTTGCCATGTTGGTGTGACGGAGGAACAAAAGTTAAGTTAATGTTTGTGTTGTGTTGGGTGTGAAAGAAGTGAGGGAGAAGAAGAATGAGTTGCGAGTTGGAACAGTTACATAGATCGACTCAAGAGTCACAGACAGACAAATTCCAAGTTATAATATTTATAAAAAAAAATGAAATCTTTAAGCGTCGCCTGAGAGATTCGAACTCTCGCGGGGAAACCCCATGTACTTAGCAGGCACACGCCTTAACCACTCGGCCAAAGCGACTGTTGTTGTACTTACCTCTTATGTATTATTTCTCGAAGTATTCCTACAATCCACTTTGTCTTAAATATTTATTCTCCTTTTGAATTTACTGAGTTGTTTGAAACAACAATTATTTTACGATGGTTGAGTTGTTTGTTCAACTTACTTTAAATATGATTCACATGAGAGTATTGGAAATCTTGCATTTTCGAGTTAAATGAAAAATTTTATTTCGATAAAAAATATTATATTATTTTTATTTATTTATTTAATATAGTAAAAATAATTAAGAAATGTTAAGTTACTTTTATTTTGTTTATTTAATGTAATGATTTTTTATTTTAAGTATTTTTTAAAAAAATTTATTACTAATTAAATAGATTTTAATTATTTTTAAGAATCAAAATTTTCAAGATTTATGATTTCTAAAAAATTATTATTTTTGGATGTGAAAAAGTTTCCTGCATGTCAAATGTTCCCTTACATATTTATTTTTGTACCAAATAGCATCATTGTTTGATTTTTTTTAATTTAACTAAAGTTTACATTTATTTTAGGGCAACTAAATTTATAATGGATAATTATTTTTCAATACATAAATTATATTCTAATTAAAATTTATAATAAATAAATATTTTATATTATGATATAGGTCTATTTTTATCGTAATTTTAAAAAATATTTAATTTTAATTTAAAATATAAATAATAAATTACAAGATAAGAGGTTAAAAAAAACTCTTTCATTAAAAAAAGTAATTAAAAAATACTTTCATTTGAACTTGCAATCTAATTTATATATTAGACCCTTTTGGGTTTTAAGTTGGTCAATAAATAGTTAATTGGTTTATATCATTTATACTTAAAAGTTTCTTTGTACTTAAATGCTTGAGACCATATGATTATGGACCCTCCTAGAGTCGAGTCAATCATGATGGTGTCTATCAATCACAAATCAATCGATTAGAGACTAATTGAATAAAAATACCTGATAGTTAACTAATATCTCTTAACTTATTTTAATCATATAATAATAAATAGATAAATCATAGAAGATAATAATAAATAATTGAATATAATTCGTATAATAGAAAATGTATCTAATGATATCATAACCTATAAAATATATTATCATAACCTATAAATGATAAATAATGGAACAATTATTCAAGATAAATAAGCCAAAAGATAATAAACAATCTAGATTATTAAGAATTAGTGATAGAAAAGACAAAAGAACTATATAATGACATAACTAGGTTTTTTCACTCATTATCATACACTTAGGTATATAAAGAAGGAAATTTTTTTTCATGTTTAAGAACCACAATTCTTGTGAAAATCCCAAAAATCAATAATCATAATTTGTAGAAATAATTAAAATGTGTTTGATTAGTCATAAATATTCTTAAGAATATTTATATTTGTCACTTAGAAATCAATGATTTTTATTGCATTAAATAAAAAAATAAAAGTAACATAAAATTTTATTAGAATAAAACTTTTCATCTAATTATGAAATGTTAGATTCTCATCTACCGCATAAAACAATTTCGTGAAAAACAGATAAAAATCATTCCCAAAAAATAATATTTTTTAAGAATATTATTTTTAATTAATATATCAAATTAAATGTTAATTTCATATTTTTATATTAATTTAATTGATTAAAAACATATAATCAAGCAATTTAAATTTATATAATTAAATGATATATAAAATATGCACTTGTATAATGCTTCCTATATTTTGCAGTCCTTTTTGATGTGAAATAATATATAGTATCTCACTCACACATCAATGTATACGGAGACACCAATATACTATCATTCCAGCATTTTCAACTAAACAAAGTTTAAAAGATGCAAGAATTAGCAGACATCATATAACTCCAAATTGCCGATCCTAACAACGAAATAGCCGCATAAATGACAAAGAACATGCAACATTTGCTTGTCATTTATAAAGAAATTACACTATGTCACAACTATACAGTATTTGTCATGAATGAAATAAGGTATGCTAGAAACACAACTAGTGAGTTCATGGTAAACAAAATTCGTTTGTGAGCTCTCCAACCTTTGTAGATGATTCTTTCTTCGATGACAATAATGTTCTTCACAAATGGGGTCTAAAATAACATCTTCCACTGTCAATATCTCCAAATGAAGAATAAATTTATACGGATGATAAATACAGAAGCTATTCCTCGAACAAACAGGACAATTTGTGAAATTGCCTACACAAGTGTACAACAAACTTTACACGAGGGAAAGAAATGGAAAATGTTCACATATGCAAACTGGTGAAATAAAAAAGGAATAATACATTAAGAAACATTTTCCTTCCCTTTCCCTCGTACAAAAAATTTAAAACCACACAACACTGCTATATGTATATATGAATAAAGAGGGACTCTGGTTTCTTGATACTCAAGTAAAACTTTCTGAGAGTTTGGACTTATGGGAACGCCGTGCCCGCTCTATGGACGCTCTCGGTGTGGATCCGGTGCGGTTGAGGGATTCTGGTTGAGCATCCGAAGGTCGGGGGACAAGCTTACACCCTATTTTCCTGGCAACCAACCGAGGCGAGCTTCGGGAACTGTGAGATTTGGTCACAGTTTTCATTTCTTGCTTTATTTTACTGAACTCTTCTTCAAGTTCTCCAACTCTAGAACTCATCCTATCCATATCCACCTTTAAGACCTGATTTTCGCGCACAACGGTCACCCATCCATCCCTTTGTACAATTTCGCCTGCCATATCGCCTAGGGCAGTTATAGGAACAGGAGCAGCTGCCGGAGCGATTTCGCCATCCAATGCATTGAGACATCCAGCTAATGCTGTTCTCAAATGCAGTTGTTCAAAGAACAGCACTTGAAGAACAACTCTGAGGGGTAACCTATCATTTTGTGATGCATGAGCACAAGCATGGATTGAGAGTTTCTGGTAGTCAATGATGTTGCATAGTTCTTCCTTCTCTCTATCAGAGAGCCAAGGATGAGCCTGCACAATACCATAAGCAGTCATCAAACTAACAATCCATGACCACAAATAAGCCTTTATGCAATAGTTTTTAGCTCAGAAAAATCAAACCTTGAAATATATGTCCAGTGCCCTGTAAAGCCCATCATGCAATAATCTTGATGATTCGGGGAGAGCCTCTGCAAGTCGGCGTATCTTTTCCGGTTTTAGATTAACATCAGAAGCAATTTCTGCAATGTAACTATCTATCAACTTGGCAACTTTCCTTGATGATTCAGATGATGGCGATGCTGATGCTTGCAGGTCACGCGATGAAGGAGAAAAGGAAGTTAAATTTGATTCTGTAGATATAAAGTAATGGACTATCTGTTCAATACAGTCGGTGTTATATAATGCATCAGAATCTGAATAAGTAGGAATCAAAAGACTATCCAATGTTGCAAGTTCCAATTGCATCCCTATTCTCCTCTCTAAAGAATCCTTGCAAGTTTGACTGACATTCAATATCAAAGAGACACGAAGAAGTCCCAGCAGGAAACGACAATAAGATTTTCCCTTCTTGTCAGGAAGAAGTTTCTCAATGCTTTCCAACAGAACCCTCTGATCAATGGTGGCAGGCGTCAAGCTGAAACTCGCAACTGTTCTTGTCTTGCCACCTTGTCCACCCTGCCACCGGCCCAAACCCGGCAAGTGCTTCCTAGAATAGTACATTATGGCACCAGCAAGGCTTTCAGGTCTTATACCTCTCGCTTGCATTGTCTTTATAAGCCTCTCAAACAAACTCACGCTGAGATATGAGATATCTTCAAACCACCAATCGGATTCTGAGCTCCGGATTCTAGCACCAGTGTTTATACCATTCCAAAGAATGCTTCCACCAGGGCTTTGAAAACTACCATACATCATCATGGGCCATCCAAACAGACTTGGGTCCGTGCAAACCATCATAGATAGAGCATTCAAACACTTGCCCACCAAATGAAGCTTTTCGGCTCTTGGTAGAACAGGCTCAGAACTTTGGAGAGCCAATATGCAATCTTTCCAATTGCGCAGTGTGTTTTTATGGAAAAAACTCTCTGATCTTGACAACAAGTTACCTTCTCCAAATTCATCTGTCATTTCAAGGTATTCTGCAGCGCAGTGGACCAATATTACATTTCTGGCTGTCAGTTCCACACGAGACCCGTAACAGAATTTGGCTGCAATTAAGAAAGCGTCACGACCACCAGGAAATTCTTCAAGCACCATTGTCAGAGTCTTGTTATCAGTATTCTTGGACTCTTCAAGTGCTCTAGCAATTTTTCCACATTTTGATACAAGAGGGAACTGCAGATCCATGGCATATCTTACTCAAACTCCAATGTAACAGTATACAAGTAATTTTTCATATCAAAGGCATAACATTATGACTACCATAAAATGAATCCTTGAATTACAGAAATGCCCACTAGCTCATCATACAATTATGCAGAGTCCAAATTGAAAAAATAGGAAAAACCAGTACCCAAAGCAATTTTTTCACAATATCTCAAAACTAACTTTTCCCTCTTAATTCTGATGGGGGACCTAGCAAAGTAATTTAGACAAAAACTGTTCAAGACATGTGCTATACCTCATCTAGTAGCATAACTTTCAAAACAGCGAGTCAAACGTGTTTGAAAACTAAATAAATTCTTAGCTTTATCCCTAACTGTACAGTCAAGCATTACTAGTTAATACACCAATGGAGGTACATCATGAATTACATGATTACATCCTATAACTTAAAAGCAAAATTTTACAACCATCATCTTAATTCTTAAATAACACCAAATGAACTGAAATACAATACATTAAGAATTTAAGACAGACTTGCCCCTTTCCTATCTCAACTTAAGCTGAAGGAATTTCAAAGTCAAAGTCCAAAATATAAACCAACAAGAACATGTGAGAACCACACAAATGGATTCCAGCGTAGAAAAATATGCGAGGTCATAGATAAACTGGTGGTATTGTACCAAATTCCAATGTATAAATAAAATTTATGGTGAAAGGTGTAGTATTAGAAAAAGTTGGTATATCTAACAAGTCTATTCCAATTCCCTTATTTGAAGAGGAGAGTTAGTTTCTACACTTAAACAAAAGAGATGGAAGAAACCAAAAGCAAAAGCACAAGCCATAAATCACATCAACTGGGTTCGATCAAATTTCAAAGAAAACCACAAAGAGCAAAAGGATAAACCACAACCACAAAAAAGCCCCACAACTATTTCTATTTCATATAACCATAGACCAATGAGGGAGGAGAAGAATTCTGAAAGGAAAGTGTGTACCTTATGAAGATGGAAAGTGACACCCTCGATGGAAACAGTGAGATCACTTGGCAGTCCACCATTGCAGAACCTATCAAAACCACAAATCCAAAAAATTAACAAAACAAATCACATCAAAATCTCTCTCTTTTTTTTTTTCTTTCAATATACATGTCTGACTTGGACTCCACCCAGTAATCAGGTAAACAAAACGTGTCATTTTCTCACCAGTCAATTGAAGAAAAGAAGGAATTGAACTTCAAAAAATGAAATTTTGTGAGAGGGAATACCAGTCACTGCCTTCTCGACGAAACCCAGAAAGCTTCCCAGCTGGAGCCATGGCAAAGACCCTCTTTTTTCCCCGTTACTCTACCAACATCTTTTTTCCCCGTTACTCTACCAACACAACATATTTTTTTTACCTAAATTGTCAAAAGAAAAAGGTATAAATGAATAGTTGGAAGACAATGAAGGGAGCAAGAATAGAGTACCCACTGAGTGTTTCTTTTACATGAAAAAAAAAAAAAAAAAAAAACACTACCCTCAAAAGTATGGTACAAAGAGCATAGCCCCCAGAAATAGAAGAATTAAAAAAACTCGGAAATTGGAAGAAAAAGAACAGAAAATGACGCAGGATGATCACGACGGCATAAACGGTCTTGGTAAAGTAAAGCAAAGTTAAATAAAAAAAGGAGCGGCAGTTTCGTAAGTTAAAAGCCTTGGCATAAGTAAAGAACAAGAACCATATATTAAAAATATTGTAGCCATAATAATAATAATAATAATAATAATAATAATAATAATAATAATAACAATAACATGAAGTTGGTGAATGGAAATAAATGAGAAAGAGCATAGGGAGCGTGGTGGAGGCCAAGGAGAACATTACAGATCAATAAAATGACAGGCGAGTGTGATGTGAGGTGGAAATTAATTTTTGTCGCTCTGCTTGTTTTCTTCTTTCAATTCTCTATTTTATTTAAAGATTTGTTTGGTTATTCTTTTGGGGTACTTTGGCCCCAACAGAATCATGTCCAATTACAACACGCGTGGCTTTCCTTCTTACCTTAACGTGCTGGCCGAGTGGTTGCCACTTGCCACTGGCCGGCGTTTGGTGAGAAGGGCCCACTGTCCCACACTTCAACATGCCTCCCATCGTTTATGCTTTCTTTGGTTTGATTTCAGTGAGACTAAGGAAAGTGAAATACAATAAAGTAGAGGAAATAATTATTCATGTTACATTTTTTTTAACGAAACAAGTTTAAATTTTTAATGATGTGAGAGAAATGGAGTGAAATTCAATTGAAATAAAATCTCATTAAAGAAAAGTGAATTTTCTGGTTAAAATTGATTAATTTGGTTACTTACTATTCTATTATAACCAAATTTAACTAATTTGTACATTAATTAAAAATTAGTTAATATTATTTAATTTTGTTAATATTAATTATAAATTGTCCTTTTTTTTATACTGTTCTTTATTGGATTTAATTTTTTGAAGATAAAAAATTTTACAAAAATAATTGTAATGGTCTCACGTGGACTTGATTCTAAAGTCTTAATATGTATCTACAACATATGAGATTCTCTCTAATATCTCTTAGAGTGTGATTGTTTCTGGGATTAAAAATTCATTTTCAAGAATATGAACACACGAGTGTCATATTCCAATATTTATTTGAAGTTTTGAAAAAGTATTTCAGGATATTATTTATTCTCATAAAAGTACTTACAATATTGTTTTCTTCATTTCCATTCTCACAGTGGAATATGAGAAAATTGCATTCTCACGAGAATGTGAAAAATTATATTTTAATTCAATCATTCAAATATTTTTTATTTTAATTTTTAAATTATTATTAAGAATATTAGAATCCTACTAAACACATTTATAAATATTCCCGAAAATAACATTCTAAACAATAATATTTCTAAAATTATACTGTTAGGAATATAATATTATACCTCTAAGGATCAAATCAAAATGCAAATAGTCCAATGATGAAGAAAATTTCTAAAAACAAGCAGGGAAACCTAGGACTCCAAATTCCAGAAAACATTCTTTATCTAGAATGCCCTCTTAGTCCTACATATTGTCCGTATGAATTAAATACTGGTATCTTTATGAGTCATTAAATGTTTAAGAGCAATGCTATCAATTTTCTGTATAAAAACGCGCTCCATATTGTTTCTATTCTAAATGTTAAGAACATGCTTATTTTAAAGTTAAACAGGATTGGTTTTTATAAATTAATTTTAAAATATTATATGTAATTCTTGCGTTGATATTGAATTAATCATAAATTTTACACTTATAGCCATAGTGAAGGAAAAATAATTCTAGATAAATTAAAGATCTTAATTCTTCTGTTTGAAACGTTATATTTTGGGACGGAATAAAGGCTTTGAGGCGGCTGTCCCCTCAAGATTCTTACATAAATTTGTAAAGTTGAGACATTTCATATTTTCATTAAAAATTAAATAATAAAAATATATTAATCCAACTGATAATGTTAATCTTTAAAGTCTTAAATTTAAGTTAAATAATAAAAATATATTAATTCAACGCATAACTCTCACTAATTTATATATGAGTATTACTCTCACAATTTAAAATTTCTAAACCTATCATTTTAAGTAACATCGTGGAATAAAATCACCTAATTAAGCACTTGTCACTTTCCTTTGCTAAAGAAATTTTTATTGATTTTCACTTTCAAAGAACTACACTAAGCCTTCAGTACGATACTGCACCCAATATTTTAGGCTGAAACTTGTACACGTCATTCCCATTTTTGATACAATGTAAACGTGATTTCAACTAGACGGGTCAGTAACATAATTGACATTTTTGTGAGTGAATGAAGGCAGATGGTATATATCAAAATTTAGGAAATGAGAACATAATGCTGCAAAAGTAATCCATAAAATAAATTAATGACCACTAATTTAGGAAACATATGTTACAGCTGAATCCGGGTCAGTAACATTTTTGTGAGTGGATGAAAGTCGGTGGAATTTATCAAAATTAGGAGATGTAAACATATCGCTGCAGAAGTAATCCATTAAATAAATTAATGACCATTAATTTAGGAAACATGATAAATGTTACAGCTGAATATGGAAAGACATCACATGAATGCCTGAGATATCACTATTCCATACAACACAAAAATGCTTCTTTCATCGTATAAATTATGCCCGAAACTCTGCATGAAAATTACAAGGCAGTAGCACAGATTGTCCTTGCTAAATTCCTACTTCCTCATAAATATGCAATAAAGAAGGCATGGGCTACCTTAGCTACCAAACCCAAAACCAAGGGGAAAATTACCATGTATATAAATAAAATCAACCAGTAAACTATACGTAAGTGCCCCTATGGGCTGAACACTCTTCTCAATGCAGTACATCACCATTAAGTTTAACTTGCCACTGGCTTTGCAATGACTTTCTTAATGGCTTCAGCATAAGTCCTGTGCTGATAGGTGAGAGTGGACTCAAGCAGGTCCCAAAGTGAGGTCTTAGGATTCCAGCCTAGCATTGAAGTAACACCCGTTAATAGGTAAAATATCTTAATAATCTTTAAGGTAAAGTAGAACGAGGAAACAATCAATGGAGTTTAGCTCAATTGGTGAAATAGTGTGCGTGAGTGATTGTAACCCTTTAGTACTATGTTTGATTCCTATCGATCAAAAAATAAAAATAAAAAGGCAGAGGAAACATACCAAGCTGCCTATTAATTATGGTCATGTCAGGAATTCTCTTGTCACTATCATCATATCCCTCACCATAAAATTCTTTGGAGCTCACATCAATAGTGGGTTTTTCTAGAGATGCTTCTCCGCTTACCTTTGAATAAACCTGCGGAATTGAATGAAAATAACTATAGAATGGCCCTAAAAACCAAGATGAAATTCTAATACGGTCAATCAATCAAAACTTAATCTTCTTAACCTGAGTCATCATTTCAGCAAGCTGCCTAACTGTAACCTCATTGTTTGGGTTACCCACATTAAAAATATGCCCATTGGCCCTTGCAGGATTTTCCTGTTAAAACGATACCATTCACATTTAGTGGAATCATCCAATAAGAATAGTAATTTATAGATGAACTTGTACAATCCTAATCATCACTTAAGATGCATAATGTTGCATAAAAAGATTGGTAAAAAATGGGAACCTACAATCATCAATAAGACAGCTTCAATAGCATCCTTAATATACACGAAAGTCCTCTGGGATTGGCCACCATCCACAAGCTTGAGGGGCTCTCCACGGAGGAGATTCTGCAGAAAATGAATGGAGACAGAATTTAGAATTGATATTTAAAAGCATTTAGTAACATATAACCATATATACAAGCTTAAACAAAGTCCAAATCAAAATGAAGACTGACATTGCTAAAGCAGGCCAGAACACGGGGAACACCCTCACTTGGCCCATCAACGCCAGGAATGAAATCCATCCTTGGTCCAATCCAATTAAAAGGTCTCACAATTGTGAATTCCAAGCCATTTTCAGCACCCTCAGCTGCCAACGATGTCACCCCAGTGAGACAAGTCAAGACATGAAAATGGAAAGCCGGAAACACCATACACACTCAAAATTAAACCCAAAAAATAAAAAACACCTCACCATAAATCAGCCTCTCAATCAACTGCTTAGCACAGGCATACGACCACCTCTGCTTCTCAATTGAACCAAAAATACAAGGAGACTCATCCTCCTTAAGCACATAGTATGCAGGATCCTATCACAACATTGGAAACAACATTACATAACTCGGCTCATTACCAAAAATTCAAACAACCAAATCACTCCCTTGCTAAAGTCTCATCCGGATAAATTTTTCCATAGTGCATGTACAAAAGAAAATAGAAAGGTAAAATTAATTAAGTTTCTTTCCAAAGCTAAAATTCAACTATGAATTCTATAGAAACACTATCATCTAACTTCTCTAGAAGGTAAAGTACATAAGTTGATAAGTTGTTTTATTGTCCTGTGATTCCTGACATAGCAATTTCAACCTATTGTGATTGTCATCGGAATGAAGGGTGTGCAAAAACGTGTAAGGACAAATAATAAGCACAGAATTTACGTGTAAGGACAAAGTGCTTAACCACTACGCGTGGTTCATAAGTTGATTTTAGCTTATAGGATATTCTCAATTTATTTTATTTTTTATTTTCTTCTTCTACAAATACTTATTGCGAAATTTATAACGTAATTAACATCAACAAAAAGGAAAAGGCAGACAAAAACCGTTGATCGAAAAGATCCATCATTGCCCAATTGAAAAGCATCGATGCATCGCAAATTCGAAAGCATCATTGGCCAATGGGCATGCACGGATCTAAATTCTAAAGTAACACCCACCAATGAAAGCGAAACGTTACCTTACGAAGAGGGCTATCTTTGGGGAGAAAGCTCCCAACCGTTTTCCCATACACTTCACACGTAGAGAAATGAATGAGACGCTTGTTGTTTTCCGAACAGTACTTCACCTGAACCCAAACACCAAATTCCAATCCTCAATTCAAAATCCCACACACACAGTGACACAGAGAGAGAGAGAAAGAGAGAGTAAAGTAAACGCACGACGGGAAGCGCGTCGATGAAGTTGCTGTAAATGGTGTCCAAGGGGCGCGTGTTGTAATCCGCGGGGGTGCAAATAGCAGCGAGATTAATGGTCTGAAAGAAGCAATTTTGAGCGGAACCCATAAGAGAGAAAGAGAAAGGGTATACGAAAAAGATAGGGTTATGGAAGGAACCAGATCTGCGATCTTGATGAGGCCCTCGAGGCGCGAATCGTGCTTGATGTTGAGGCGGTGGAACTGGATGCGACCGGCCCAAGGAAGCGTGTGGGGCTCCAAGAGGTGTTTGATTTTGTCGCTGTAGACATCCAAGGCGAGAACCGTGTGAGGGGTCTCCGACATTAGTTTTTCGCAGAGGTGGGAGCCGATGAACCCACCGGCGCCGATCATGCAAATGGTCATGGGCTTTATGGGCCTTCCGTCCAGATCTACTCGGCCCGAAGCCATTACGCAGAATCAGTGAGCGCTGCTGTGCCTGACACTGTTCTGTTGTGCGTTGTGTGACCCTAGTCTTGTATAAATCATTTCATGTCCCTGGAGTTTTACTATGGTTGTCAATACGTTTTCAATCTATGAACAACCCTAAACACATCGAAGTGAATAATAATCTTGGTTGAAGTTAAATCCTTCAATACAATCTTCTTATTTACTTTCACTTGTAAATACCTCACAAATATTTTTAATATGTGTATGTTTAGTTTTTTTTTATATTAAATATGGATGAAATTAATTCTATTATATTCAAAAAGATTATAATCATTTTTTGGCATGTTTAATCATCGATGAAATTAATTTTAAGATGTAAAAATTTATATTCATTCAATAATAATTACCAGTAACTTTTTTATCAAACAAAAGAAATTTTAAAATTTTATTTGTCTAAATTTATAATTATACACTTAAAATCAATTGTGATAATAAATTTTCAAATTACATTCAATATAAAAATCAAATTTATATTTTATATCAAATCTAATATTTAACGCAACTATTCGAACTCCTGACCTTGCTAAAATATAGATCAATCTCTACTTCTGAACCACACGCTTAGGATTTGTATTAGATATTTTAAAAGAGAATTTTGTCTCCTATTATTATTCTATTTGTATTAAACATAATTATTTCTTACAAAAAATACTTATAACCTCTAGAAAAAATGTTTAAAAATACTAACAAGTTTAAATAATATAATATTTAACTAAAGACGACTTAATAACAAAAAGTAAAGTATATAAATAAATACTTAAATTTGATTCTCATTATAATCGTTATAATCTTGAGGAAAAAATATTGTGTTTATAAAAATATTTTAAATTTAATTTTTTAAAATGATTTATTATATAAATTTATTTATCAACAAAATCCGGAAAATCAAATACACAAACTTTAATCCACAACCACAACGAATCATTCATATAATTTGGATGGCAAAGCATTTATTCCTATCTGAATGTGATGTGTGGGTGTATATGAATCATTCTATTTTCCTAACAGCAACAGAAAATTTGGAGCATAGTTTCGAGAAGTGGATAGCATGTACTTCCAAAATAAAAGTGACACAGTTACATTACATTCCAAAACAAAACAATTTGAACTCAATTGGTACACCAATTCCATTTGAGCTGTACATTTTTCAGACTGCTATCATCCTATCATACAATTTGGAAATAAATCAACTATCAATAGTTAAATTACAGATTTGAGTCTTTTGTAACGTGATTTTTTATAATTATTATTACTTATTTTTAAATTTTATTTTATTTAAAATGCTTTTCAAATTCAAACTATATATATTAAAATGGTAAGTATTTTGTATATATATTATACAAATATTTGACAACAAATGACAATAAAATTTGAAAGAAACACTTTGTGGGTATTATTTAAATTCTTGTTACTGAGACAATCTTAATAGTTTATAAGATATTAAAATTAAATATAAGAAAAAATGAAATTTTAATGTAAAATTTTAAAAGTATTTAAAATTGAAATTTAAGAATTTTTTTTTATCTTAATGTAATCGAAAAAATTAATACAGTAACGTTTTAGTTTTTATGCAAATTATTTTAGAACAATTAATTAAAAATAGTATATTAACTTTTTAATTGAATCATGTGAATTAACCGACATAAAATTATTCTAAGTTATCAAAAGTTATTAGTTCAACCAAGAGTTTCTCTCAATTACTTAATTTTTAAATTATTTATTTTCATTCTTTTGGAAATTTACTTTTTTGTTTTTTTTAATTTTTTTCCAGGTCATAAGCTGCTTTTTTTTATTTACTTAGTCATAAAAATAAAATTATATATCTATCTTATAATTTTTTTATTTTGTATTTATAAACACGTTCACTCTCTCTCATTCTTTCTCTCTCTATATATGTTAAAATTATTATTTTTCTCTCTATTTATATAATATTAACATTATATTTTTTTTATTCACCAGCACTAGACTAAATGGAGTTATTGGTACGATCTGAAAAAAAAATACAAGGATTAAAATTAAATAGAACGATGTTTACAGAAAATTTATAATATATTTAAGTCTAAACTTTTCTTTCAATTGTCTTTCTTTCAAACTAAAAAACATAAAACTTGCAGTTGTTATGAAAAGAAACCATAAAACTATTTCACCCACCAAATATGGCTTATGGTTAAAACCCAAGCTCACAAGAAACAGTTACCTGTTGCCAACAAGAAAAGCAATATTACGAGTTTGCATCTATTTAAAGCCTGTAATGATGTAGAATTTTCTTTTTCTTTGTTATCTTAAGGTAGGTAGTTAGGTTCAGTGCCTTATTAAATTTAACAAAACTTAAATATAATAAATTTGTTATTATTTTTCAATCAAAATTATAATTTTATTTTAATAACATACATTAAAATTTAATAAAAATATTTATTATACGTACAAGTGAAACTTTGATTTTTATAAAATAATATTATCTCAAAATTATAATCTTTCAAGATATGTTACTTTTATCATTGTAAGTTAACATAAATGGTATAAGATTTGATTCAAATTTGTGTTTTCTATAATACAAATTTGATATCATTTACGATTATAAAATTATAATTTAGTGGACAAACTTACTAAAAAAGGATTTTAGTGTTAGAGGTGAAATATGGTGAGTCGCCTTGTCCTACTTCAATACCTATCTACTATTTTTGTAGAAAAAAAAAAGTTACTTTTTCAAATCTCATGAGAAATCAAATATGACTTCAAATCAAGGTTTATCACAATATAAGAGAGGCAACTTGGGCTTAGTTCACAAGTGTGGTAGTTCAAGAACATAGTTAAGAATAGAGGTAGATATACAAACTAGTCTAATTCATTTAAAGTTTGATTTATGAAGTTCACGTTTTTAATGGGTCAGATAAGTTTGATTCGTGAAATAAATAAACTAATTTTTCAGTTCCGTATCCAACCCATAAAGCCTGCAAATAAAAGGACTAATTCGCTAAATGTGTTGCAATAATGAAATGTGTGAGAGTACTTAACAATGACGTGCTTGTGTGTTGATAATTAATTGTGTATAATGGGACATTGAAATTTTTTTATTTTAGACTTTTATCATACTTTGTATTTAATTTTGTATGATAAATTATGACTTATGACTATTAGTGATGCTAAATTTATGATTATTATGTTAATTTATAATTAATTTTAAATTTTAAATTTTTTTGATAATTTTTTTTAATTTTTTGGTGGGTTGGTGGACTAATCCATATAACCTATCAACCTGTGGTAGGCCGGGCTGGATCAGGAAAATTTTGAGAAAATTAAAAGTAGGTAAGACCGGATTAACCCGTTTTTAAAATGAGTTAAGGTGGACTAATCCATATGGGTCAGACTACCTGTTTTGACAGCTAGGGATGGGTAGATGGACCCAGGTCCGCAGACTAGTTCGTAAGCCCAAAAACTTCGCGGATAACAAATCCATTTTTTTAAAATCCGTATGATTATGTTTAATTTTCGAGTCCAGTCCGTGAAGTCCGCAGACTTGACGAATTTAATCTACGGGCTAATCCACGAGCTTCACTAATTAATATTTTTTTATATTAAGATTTTATTATTAAGTTGTGTATTTAATCTTTTAAATTATTATAACATTAAAATTATATTTAGTTGGTATGTATTTGTCATTTAAATTATTTTTATGACATTTTAATATTTTTATTATTGAAAGTTTGGTACTATTATATAAGTTTTTGTAATTATTTTTACTTTAACATTTTAATATTTAGTATTTTAAATCATTTTAACTATTGATAAATTTTAGTATGTGAAATTTAGCTTATAAATAAAAATAAAAAAATTATTCTAATTTTATATAATTTTATTTTTAAAAATTTATTTTTTTAAACCACTATTTAGACCCATAAATCTGTCTGTTATCCGCAAATTTTAACGGATCAAATATAAATTTTAAAAATAAGTCCATTTATTTTATGAACTAAACTTATTCAATCCGTATAAAATGCAAGTTTTACGGGTCAAAATTTAAACAGACCGGACCGATATGTATACTCACCCCAATAACAACTATAGTGACCAAAAAAAAAATATATATATATATATATATATATATATATATATAAAGTTTTTTTAGTGGACTCATCAATATCATTCAATTCCAAGAGTGAAAATGCATAACATTACTACTATTCATAATAAGGCAACTCACGGAGTACGCAGACTTTGTAAGTGGAGCCAATAACTTTGTTATACTTATACGTATTTAAGAAAACTAAACTCGTATTTGTACGGATCGTGAGCTAAATAGACTGGTCCACAAATTTAGGTTCATATATTCACCCCCTAGTTAAGAGAGGCAAAAGATTATATATATATATATAATATTACTTTCTGTCTTAATTATAAATAATAATAATAATTAATTTCTAAAATCATTTAGGTTAAAATTCTTTTATACCTTTTATTTATTGTTAACTTTATTTTATATGCATTTATTTATGACTAAAATTAAATGTAACAACTACTTAAAGTAAAGGACATGTTTGGAATAAAAATTGAATTTATGATAAAATTAATTAAAAGTAACTATATTAATTATATTTTTTTTATGATTTGTCTATTTATTGTAATTAGAATAAGAAACGATAACTTTTATAATTATTATATTATATAAATAATTTTTTGTTTAATGCAAATTCAACCGATCAAATTATTGAATTGTGTAAAATTATACTTAAGATCGTATATATCAAATTTTACATGATTTGAATTTTTTTAGATAAGTCATCCAAAAATAAATTTTTTTATGTATTTTAAATTTCTTATTATACGTTAAAATAAAATAATGTGATGAACTACTAACTTTTATGATCATGTGAAATTTAATATACATGATCTTAAATATAATATCACGTAATTTGATATAAATTTTATTAAATTTTTATTATATAAAAAGTTATTGAAAATATAAGATTTGATGTAAATTTTTAAATTTACGTTGGATTTTAACAAATCTTAATTTTTTTAAAAAAAATTAAAATTATTATCTTATATTTTTTTTATATCTAAATAAAAATGTGATATGATTATTTGTATTGTTAATTTTTTATGTACATTTATAAGAGAATAAAAATGTTTATGATCTTTCTATTTTTTTTTTTGTTCTGGTTTCTTAAAAGAAATTATTTTATTGTAGTTCTTTTGATACACCGTTTTTTATCTTCAAAGTTGATGGTAAGAACAAAATCTAGTATCTTTAAAAATAAAGTGACTAAATATTCCTAATTTAAAATAAGGAACTGAAGTTGTAAATTAAAAAAAATGGGGCAAAAATACAACTTATCCTAAAGTTTAAGTTTGGCGGTGTAAATTTGATATGGTGGAAAAGGGAGATTGTTGAAGAAGCTGTGAGAACTCAGTGTATCACGTGCAAGATTATACTTGTAACCAACGTCCTTTCTTACCACTATATAATTTTTAGTCAGGTTTTTGGTTTTGGGAAATGTATAAAACAGACCAAGAAAAGGGCATTTGTTTGCTTCTTACATTACAATTCATGTTCATTCATTGCACGCTGAAAATTACATTCAGCCATACCATTTAACTTGATACTATAATAGCTCTCTTTGATCGCCATCTTCTAGCTCAAGACATTGACCATAATTTCGTTTTGGTAATTAGGTTTATTTTTCCACTAAATCAAGTGACACTTCGATGGTGCTAGTAAAGGCGGATCCATAAAATTTTCTTAATAAGGACAAAGAAATAATCTCTAATACTTTCATGGAAAAAAAAAACCATAATTTTTTACAAAATACATAATCTCATGACACAAAAAAAAAAATCAAAATAAAGGATATTTTTGTATATTTGTGTCACGGACTCAATTTTAATGTGCAATTAGTAATGAGAAATATAAAAAATAACAAGGTAAAATAGTAAAATTAATGCTAATTTATTTTCTTTTTATCTTTATTTTAAAAAGTGTGTTATGGAGGCACCATTTATTTTGTTGTGGGGGCAATTTTATTTTTATTTATTAAATATAATTTAAGTATGAAAAGAAAAAAACATAGTGGGAGCAATTGCCCCCATACTCACTAACCTACCTACAGTGCACTGGTTACAGCTAAGGATGTTTATGCTACCTACTTTTAATTAAAAATTGTACTACTACATTAACTTGTCAAATTTAGTTACATTAGTAGCATGCAAGACATTGATATGATACTGAGATTTGATAATTTAGTTACATTAGTAGCATGCAAGACATTGATATGATACTGAGATTTGATAATTTATTTATTTTGAGTAGTGTACCTTAACAGTTAAGTTGAAACATTTATAAGATTCTTGGAACTGTAGCCCTGCCAAACCAGCTCAACTGCATGCTATATAGTAGAGTATAGACCATTCCTCAGAAATCAGTTCCCAACACATTAACACCCCTTTTTTAAAGCCTGCACTCTCTTTCTCCTCTCTGAAGAAGCTCATAGCTGAAGAGAAACTGAGAAGCATGTGGTATTCAAGTTATTTCTTGACTTCATTGCTTTTGGTTGCAGTGTTCAATGTGGCTAAAGGACAGCCTCTGGTCCCTGCATTGTTCATATTTGGTGACTCTGTCGTTGATGTGGGCAATAATAACCACTTATACACCATTGTTAAATCAAACTTCTCTCCTTATGGAAGAGATTTCAAGAATCACACTCCAACAGGGAGGTTTTGCAATGGAAAGCTTGCAACAGACTACACAGGTATTCCTCAAAATTCCCATTCAAGTAAACACCCCCTTTGGTTCAATTCGGATAAACTTTCCTAGAAAAATAATATAACTAAGATGTTTTAGCCTATACATAAATTAAAAATAAGATTTTGAAGAAGTGATTTAAAAGGAAATTTTACAAATTAGTTCATAGATAAGCTAATCTTAATTTATATATAAAGAATATTTTATTGTTCTTTTTTTAGAGGTACTTTGTATAACTTAATCTAAATAGACCCTTATTATCACCTACATTTTCTTGTTTTTTCAACAAAAAGCTTGCTTGCTTGATCTTTGTTATGTTCATTGCAGCTGAAAACCTTGGATTTACCACTTACCAACCAGCTTACCTCAACTTAAAGGTCAAAGGAAAGAACCTCTTGGAGGGGGCCAACTTTGCCTCAGCTGCTTCTGGCTACTATGATTCCACTCCCAAGCTATATGTAAATTTACACTTGGAAGTCTAAGGCACTCCATTTTTTTTTCCCTTCTTCTCATCACTAATGGTAAAGCCTAATATGAGTGTGTGTGTTTTCTTTTCTTTGTTTCCTATTGGTCTAGGATGCAATTCCATTGAGCCAGCAGCTGGAATACTACAAAGAGTGCCAGAATATATTGGTGGGAATAGTAGGGCAGTCAAATGCTTCATCAATTATATCTGGTGCTATATATGTTATCAGTTCGGGGAGCAGTGACTTTATTCAGAACTATTATTTAAATCCACTGCTTTACGAGGTTTACACTGCTGATCAATTCTCAGACATTCTCATCCAAAACTATGCCACTTTCATTCAGGCATGTCTTTCTCAACCCTAACACATTGCCTTAGCAAACCATGTTCCACTTAAAGGGGGGTCATTAGTCATACCCAATAATAATAAGTTTAATTACCTTTTATAATTTTATAAGCCTTCTCTTTTAGTTTTTATGATTTTTTTTTTTAGTTTTGTCTTTATACATTCCTTTTTTTCTACCTTTTTCCCCTACAATTGCATAAATTTTCTTTTAATCTTTATAGTTATATTTTTTTTTAATTGTTATAAAAATAGATGATTGAGACTAAAAAGAAAAAAAATTGGTATATATAAGAATTAAAAAAGACTGTTTTAAACTATAAAAAATTAAAAAAAAAATGAAACTATAGGTATCAAAAACTTAATTAAACCTAAAAAAAAATACCACAAAAGACGAAAATGGTATTTATTTTCCTTTGTTGATTTTGACTTGCATTTCCAAATTCTAAACTTGCATGTGGCAGAATTTATATGGACTTGGAGCAAGAAGGATCGCTGTAACAACATTATCTCCATTAGGTTGTCTACCAGCAGCCATCACTCTCTATGGCTCCGGCAGCAACCAATGCGTGGCTAAACTAAACAATGATGCAGTTAACTTCAATAAAAAGCTAAACACCACATCTCAGAGCTTGCAAAAATCGCTATCTGGTCTCAAATTGGTCATCTTCGATACCTACCAACCTCTCTATGACCTGGTCACTAAGCCTTCTGAAAATGGTACACTTTAAAAGTTTCTAACTATGCTAATCCTAGAAAGCCAATCTTATTATGTATGGCTCATGAGCAAGTTTTGTTTGTGTGGCATACACTACACTTTCACAGGATTTTCGGAAGCAAGGAAGGCTTGTTGTGGAACAGGGTTGCTAGAGACATCTATTTTGTGCAATCAGAAGTCCATAGGAACATGTACCAATGCATCTGAATATGTATTCTGGGATAGTTTTCATCCATCTGAAGCTGCAAACAAGATTTTGGCCGATAACCTGTTGCTTGCTGGCATCTCTCTCATATCCTAATCTCGGGTCATATTTTCTTCGGATTATTTTTAATAAAACTTATATGCACTACCTAGGTATTGTTAGTGTTATTTTTCGATTATGAATTTCACATTGATAATATGTATAATGAAGTACTTTATTAAATGTTAATGCATGAAGTAAAACTTCAATAATGATCAGATAACAATACTAATAATATTTATGCTTCTGTATTGAAGTTTTGTACTTTTAAGAATTGTGTGTACTGTTGTATTTGTTTGTCTTATGTAAAAGCAGCTTAAATATGTTCAATTACAATGCTCAGTGCGTGTTTTCAAGTTTCGTGTAATAAGACCAATATTCCTGAGTTTTCATGTAAAATTTCTATCTCGAGTATTCAAAGCTGCTCCTGATGAATTTGTATTTAATTCAATTATTTTATTTAGAGAATTCAGTCTAATATGACAGATAAACTCAAACCATAAAAAGAAAAGGATATGAAAGTTAAATTTAGTGATAATAGAAAGTGATTTTTTTCACCCTTTAATTCCTAATTTTCTCGTATAAGTTCACACGCGGTGAGGATCTTGTCAACAAATTTGCCCCATAACGTAATTTTAAAATAGTGAGAAACTTGTGGGATTGTTTTGGTTGGCAGCTGACATCTCTACTCTATAATAGTAATACCGTGTCCGTGTAAATTTAGGACTAAATTTACATTAAGATTTTTAAATGCTTTTACATCCTTAATGAACGTAATAAAAGTTTGCATTAAATAAAGATTAACACAACTTATTAAAGTAAAATTATATTTCTAATTGAATAAACACTACGTTATAGTTTGTGAAAAACCCCAAGTTTTGTTCATAAATTTACCAACGAAGTGCCTTTTACTCGTCCATAATCCCAGTGGTTATAGTTTGTGAAATTTCAGATCAGTAAATACCAATCTATCTGTTTTGGACGCTTATTAAAAGATAACAATTTCCTTTGTAACAAACAAGTCACTTTCTTCCAACACCATAGTCAACACCTGGGCTGTGCAACTGTAAGTCATGTTCATTTATGATTCCTTTGATCAGAAGGGAGGTGCTATCAACAATTTTTGAACTAAATTGCGACTCTTTCAGAGGCACTAATTCACGAAATGCATTAGTCCTGAAGGCAGAAATGTGAAAAGAAACATCAAATTAGGAATTCTTTTTAATGCAAAAGGCCAGGTGCAAAACTCCTCCCACCCCCTTTAGCTTCTAAAAAGAAGAGTGTATAACGTTAAAATTTGTATTCATATATATATATATATATATATATATATATATATATATGTGAAGAAAGATCATTTTATTCTAATTACTCTATTTAATAACTTATGTTCTACATCAAATTTCATCGATCCAACCGATCAATTTAAAATTTTTAATGCATAGATCAAATCTGTAAATTTTTAAAAGGTTTAAAAATTATTTTATACTTTATTTCATTAATTTAAATTAATGGATAATCATAAAATCATTTTATATATATATATAACTGCACAGATACAAAACAGCATCCGCAGGTGCAAAGCTTCCAAAGATTGTTTGGACAACCGTAAATTTAAAAGATACAGTAATTTTACTCGGAGAATTTATGACAACAATCCAACAATCTTTTTACATCTGTCTCACTGACAGGAACTTCAGCATTCCCATTATTCTCGGTATTCTGTCTTGTAGCAGTCCACTGATTCAGAATACTGATTATCCTCCTAAGCTATTGATTGCAATAGTAAAGGGAAACAACAAATAAATGGCAAAACAAGCACTCGGATAAATAAGCATGTGAATCTAACTGACAGTGGATGTGATTGGCATTTTAGAGTTAGGCAGGTCTGAATGGGTAGATAGAGGTCTAATGCTTCAGAGCTAAAGACCAGCAATCTAAATATGCAAAGCTCGCTAATGTTTTTGTTCACTGTTTAAGAATTGCCCTTTACTAAGAACATTGATAGATTGACACACTATATATAAATAAAGGAAAATAATAAATGTCATTAGTTGATTCTACAAAATTAGATACAAACAAAGAACCAGTGAAAAAAAAGGAGACATGATAATAATTTCTGCTACACTTGTACCTGATCTAGTAAGAAATCCTTTAGAACATGTCGCATTAGTAAATTGAAAAAAAAAATAAAAATTGCCCTGTATGTTAGACAGGAAAACAAAAATATGAACTAATTGCTAATGAAAATGATTTTTTGTTGAGTTTATAAATTGACATAAAAAATTATTGAAATTAGTCATGACTCATGGCAGCGAGGATAGGAGTTAAATTATATTCAACATGTTATTTCTACAAAATTTAAATCTCGTTGCAAAAATTGTGATTTTTCCTACATTTCAAATAATGTCATCCAAAGGGGCCCTCATAATCACAAACAACAAATTCAACTAACTATAAGAGAAGGATACAGATGTATTTCTAGCATTTGCTGCTGAGCCAGAAGAAAACAAGCTTTCCTGATCATGACCAGATTCAACTTGTTGGTTGAAAAGCTCATCTTCAATCAGATCAAGTTTTCTGACAAGAACAGAAACATAATGATATAAACTTGAAGGGCTCATTTCAGTTTCCCGAATTCTAACCAATATCCGAGCAATTACATTCCAGAGTGCATTTCTTGCTTCCACATCATCCGAAGCAAAAGGGAATGTGTCGAGCAAACCACCTAAGAGGTTAAAATCTAGAAGGTCCAACGCCATTTACCATTAAATTGAATAATCCAGAGACTCGAAGAAAAGAATACATAGTGAATTGAAGTTCAGAAATGAGAGCGAAAGATGTTTTACCGTGTGATATCTTCGAAGCATAATCAGCAACATCAGACAACATATTTGCTATCAGAACTGAAGCAGTAACACAGCAGTTCCCAACCTGCAGAAGAGATCACCAATAGATCATAGTTTTCAATTAGCAAAATCATTTTCATTCCCTTATCAAGAAGTTTGATATTATCCATAAATTGATCAAGAAAATGATATGAAATAATTATAACTGATAAAAAGTTGAGAAGATGTTTGGATTTAACACTTTAAATAAGTACAACACTTTCATTCCTTGAAAGTGTCAGATATATCAGTATTGAAAGTGTTAACTATAACAACGTACCTCAACTTTATCTTGGAACTTAACCAGATCACATATTAGTTGAAAGAGCTCTGTACTTGAACAAATTTCCTGAGAGTGTTCATCCATAACAGAAAGGGCTTCAATAGCGCGAAGAATTAAATCGAGAATTGAGTACCTGAAACATTAAGATATGAGGTTGTCATACCAATTCCACCAGATAGGTGGATGGAATAGTTATCCACTTATCTGCAAAAAAAATAAAAAGAAAGAAAAAAATTGCAAGACAATATAATTTACAACCATTCGTTAGTGATGTCAGAATTAGAATCAGAGGAAAATAGGACCCGTGCAATTTCATCATTGCAGAATGGTTGTGATCAAGGTACCTTTCAGGTATTCTTTGAGTCATTAATTTGCTGATCTCAAAAGACAAGAGACTGATCAATATATTTGCCAAACCAAGCTCCATCATAGGTGGAAGGAGAGCATCCACAACTTTCTGCTGACTTTCTAAGATAGCTAGAATAAGCCCGATGCTCTGTTAAAGAGTAGAACAATGTTAGCTCTTTGTATTCTGATGAAAATGAAAATGTCAAAAGATAAATCAAAATAAACATTATTTTTGTTCTGAAATTATTCAAGTTTCTCATGCATATATTTCATAACATGCTTTTCACATAGTTTAGTGACTTCCCACATTGAAACCTCTATAAAAGTAAAAAAGTTGAAACTACCTTGGATTAATACCAAGTATTGATTACCTTTTCTAAAAGCTGAAGGTTCAATGTATTTTCTGCAATCCATAATATTTGACATAGTATATGTTCAGACTGTAATACCTCAGCCCATGCAACAGATTCACCACTTTGAAGACCCACAGTCAACAATCTGTTTCAAAAACTAATTATAAGAAAAGTTTGTATTTTGAAAAATCAAGGCACTTATGTCAAAAATTAGTTTGATACCTACTTTACAGCATAACATAAATAAAAATTAATGTCTTTTTCTTATCTATCTATTTGGCTGGGTAAATCTGTGTGTATCTTTTTTCTAATACATACACACACAGAAGGAAATTAATTTAATAAGAGAATAGTACAAAGAAAATCCTCTAAAAAAAACAAAAAGAGCAAAACCAGAGCCAATGAGATCAAATTATGTAGCAAAGCATGTCAATCTTTCTACATGTCTGAAACAGAAACAGTTCTAGACACAACATAAACAGAACACCTGAGGCTGGCTAAAAAAAAGCCCCATCCAAAATGAAGTCAACAGTCAGAGAATATGGCAAATATGTCATGTAAAATTCTGGCCATAAACATCAAAGAATCAGCAAGATTTCACATAACAACAAAATCTTAGCTTCTTTATGAGAGCCAAAAACTCAGAAATTAACCAAGAGAAACTGATGCAAATCCTTAGTACCCAAATAATGAAAGGTTAGTCTGACCTGTTTAAAGTCTAATCTGACTTGACCTATTTAATAAAATGGTCAAGTTAAATTACAAACATATTACATTAAATTATTTATATAATATGTATATTAGGCTTAAAAAAAAGTTTGTTAGGCTTGATAGACTAATCTATTTATTTATATAATATAATAAAAAAATAATATACATATTACATTATTAACAATATAATTAAATAAATAAAAACTAAATTATTAATATTTTTTAAAATTATTACTAAACAAAATGTTTTACATTTCCTATTCATACGAAATCAAGAAATAAAAAATAAAAAATCTAGCAATCATATCTTCTCCTACTTTTTTCCTTCATCTTCACGATTGTTTATGTATTATTGTAAATGGGATATAAGAAATATTTAAAAAAAAATTATTTTATTTTATAAGATTATCTTCTTTCATTACACTTGTACGTGAGTATACATGAGTTGTTCCTCTTATATTATTTTTATTTTTATTTTAAATCCTAAATTTTAATAATAATAGAGTAAACTATTTTTTTATTACAAAAATTAAAAAAAAAACTCGCACATATATTTAAAAATAGATTTATTGGCTTATTTAAATTTAAATTTATTGAACTATTTAACATTATTAATCTAAAATAGGCTTTTAAATAGGCAAATAGACTAAACCAAACTTTTACAAAGGCTAGGCCAAACCTAGATAAAAAGTTTATGATAGATAATAGACCACACTTTTGGCTTTACTTTTATAAAATAGACTCAGCTTGTATATTTAAAGTCTAACTTGATCTGACCTATTTACAAAAATTACCAATATTTGCTAGATCAATTGGTATTGCATTTGGTCTTCAAAGATAAACATAGAACAAAGACACATTATTTCTTTTATAAAAATGACAAAGAAACAGATTTGATACTATCAGTGTTTCTTCCTCACTGAAGTGATGCATTGTAGTAAAGAGAAAATGAAAATAGCAGGAATAACACTAAAAAAAAAGAAAAAGGCATAAAATAGGGAAATAGTAACCAATCATGTAAATTTGGTCCTTAACGGAAAGAAAGATAATCAGATATCCCTAATCCAAAATTGAGAAGAAAAGTGTGTAAAAATGTTTCATACCGGCATGTTTCACATAGGCATAGAGGATCATCCATAAACAATTTGTTCACAATTATCTCAATCAGTCCTTTTGTCGAGATTACATGCTTCATTGGAACTTCATGACAGGCAAGGTTCCCAATAATTCCTATGCTAATTTCCTACATGTAATTAATCCATAAAAATGTATGACAGAATAAATAAGAGCTTCTTAATCATTTGATAGTAATAGTATTATGCAGTCTTAATAACATTGACTTACTGTAACACACTCTGATTTGCAAGCAAATAGATTAGCTAAAAGAACTTCAAGTATGAGATTCTCCACCTGCAGTATTATACCAAGTAACCATTTCATTTAAAAAAGACAAGCAAGTGGTTGAAAAGACAACAAACTAAACATATTTAAATCTCCTGTGTAAGAGGAAATTGCAATGATCGTTTTAACATTAATGATTATGAGCTTGATGGTTGATAATAGGTAAATTGGGTAGGATTGGCAAACATGCCTGAGGACATTCAAATAATCATTATTGTCTTCTTACAAAGCAGACATGAGGGATGTTTAAGACTTATGTCCAATTTTGTTTGAGAAAATATTTCCTATTCCAGCACATAATTACTAAACAGCCAATAAGTTTTTTACTCCCTCTCCTGCTTTTCTTTGTTGTTTTCACCACTTATACTAGCCTTTGAAAACAAGAAACAAAGTAAAACGCTTTCTCAAATCAAACAGAGTAAGAGACCCTTAAAAAATAGTTCAGCGGGACCAAATTCTGCCTGTACAGTCCATCTAACTTGCTCATTGTTTGGAGAGTAGAGACAATAACATGGCTTAGAAGATATTATCAAATGAAATTATGAAACTACTATACCAAAGTTATCATTACGTCCGCGTAAAGTATATTATATTAGGCCTATCGAACGCATTCTCCCGCAAATTTTTGCGATGTCAAGGATTACATCATAACTGTAATTGCGATTGCAACCACAATTTAGAACTATGATGAACTCAAAAGAAACACAATAATATACCATGAGTTCCGCATGTGTTTTACTGGCAGCTAAATCCCACAAAATGCAACCATATTCCTCCCAGGCGTCCTCCTCAACCGAGACACGAGAACGTTCAATTCCACTATCGGTATCTTCGCATTCTCCATGCAAAAATTCACCGGAAACATCAACATCCATATTCTCAGACTTATTCTTATACGATTCAAGGTTTTCATCATTCGAAACAGACGGCGTAGCTCCTTCTTGTTCTCCTTGGTTAGGGTTTTCAGAAGCAACTCCACTGAAGCTACTCCGAGAAGCAGAATCCAACGGCAGAAGCTTCCTTATCAAGGAGATTATGTAACTAGGATCAACTGTCGTTGATAAATCAAAAAACTGCATCAGGAATCATTCAAAACAATCACCGAATAATATTAAAAATAAAGCAAAAAAAAATAAAATGAAATCATATTTTTCAGTGGGTAACTTAAGAGGAGGCGTTGATGAAAACCTCGTGCGACGGAGCAGAAGGGTGGTGCGTGGGACCACCCTGTTCTTCTTCTTCTTCTTCTTCAATGGTTGGATCCGCCGGAACCGCCATGCGATTTTTCTACTTTGATTCTTCCCTCCAATTTTAAAAATTCATGAGAAATATCGATTTCATCCACAACCTAGAGCTAGAGAGAGGAGTTGCTATTTTTTTTTTCGCAAACTTTGGGACAATGGGCCGGTTCTCTGTTCAGGCCTAGCCCAAAGCCAACGTCATATGTCAACTACACGAATTTCTCATAAACTAATTAATTATATAATTTCAGCCACATATATTGTGTACACCAAAAACGCAAAAAGTATCAGCCACAGATGATAATGCCTTTACTCTAAATTTAAATTTGAATTAAAGATAATTTTACTATATTCTCTTTTTTTCACATGAGTTGAACTGTTGAAGAACAAAATCCAGAAAAATATGGAAATGAGAGTTTCGGATAAATTCACTTTTGGCCTTTTTGGTGGTTATCCAATATTACTCGTCACTTCTCTCGTTGTTCCGTCAACTTCATCGGAATATTATTTATTACTATAAAGTTAGATTAGATAATAATATTATAGTAATTAAAAAAATCGAATTCGGATAAATTATTCAGCTGTTCCGTTTTGATCGTTACGGACACAGCTTCAACTACCTCATCCTCTCTGCACGGCATGCACGACCACCATAACCGCTGCTGAACCACACCAACATGGCGCTATCTTGGCCGCACGTGCTGCAGTTCCGTTCTCAACCACTTCTCGGACACGCTAACTGCGTGTTCTTCTCGGATCTTACGGAATCTCGCTCTCTGGAGCTTTCATGCACTGATTCCCTCGCTCTGCTACGCCGGTGCAAAATCTCCGTGCCGTCTCCGGCGGCGGTGAGGCCGGTGAAATGCCTCGGCAGATCTACGGAGGAGAAGCAGTGGAGTGACGCTGAAACTGCCGTGTCCGACTCCGACGAAGTTTCCGACGGGCCGAATGAGCGGAGCCGGAATTCCGTTCCGACAAACGGTCGTGTGGAGTCGCAGAGGATTGTTTCCGCGTCTTCCGGCGATTCTCTATCTCTCGGAATTCGAGAACCGGTTTACGAAGTTCGTTCTTACGAGCTCTTTTTTACTCTTTTTTTTTTGTTTAGTTCTGAAACTTAATTGTGAATTTAGCCATTTAGGAATTTTTCCTGCTCCAGTTCAATGAACTAGAAGGTTAAGACTAAATTAGCAGCTTATTAAGTTTATTGCATCTTCTCAAGTTTTATTTTATCTACTAGTTTCGTTTTCTTTTTTTATTTTTATTTTTTATCTCACGTGTTTGTTGTGTTTTCTTTCTCCTTCTATATATGTGAATTGTGAAGGTTGTTGAAGTGAAGTCTAATGGGAAAGTATCAACTAGGAAAATCAACAGGAGACAATTGTTGAAGTCAAGTGGTAAGTAAAATGCATCTATGTCTAAGCTTGAAGTTGAGACTTGAGAATACTTAATACTCCGTGCCGCTAGTATCTTATCATGTTCTGTTATTCCTGTCATGCATACTTTACTTTCATGAGCTTAAATTCAAAGGAGTTGCTTATAAGCATAAATATAAGGGAAATAAATACTAACAAGTGCTTTAGGATACTGGTTAAGGAATATAGTAGAAAGCTTTTATTGAAAAATGTATATTGGTCACACGAGATTAAAACTTAAGATCTTAATATAGTTTTTAATTAACTACCTTCAAAATATTTTTGGGTGTATATTGGTCACACACGAGGTTAGAACTGGAGATCTCATGCATTAAGGTTAAAACTTTTTAAATATTGATTTCTTAATTAGTGCTAAGGATACTATATAATATGCATAACAATTCTTTTTTAATGGGCCAATGCATCTGCGTTGTGTTCTTTTCTTCTTCTGTGCAATGTTAAGCCTTCATGTTGAGTGCTGTTCACCTGTTATATAATTGGTTTTTTTTTTCATGTTTTAATTATTCAGGTCTTCGTCCACGGGACATTCGAAGTGTGGATCCATCATTGTTTATGACAAATTCAATGCCTGCTTTGCTGGTAAAATTTCTTCTTTTTTGTCCCCTATCAATTCATAATACCTTGTTGTATTGTATGTATAAATGCACACATTCAGAAGTTCATGAAGATACCCACTGAACTGAGTGCCATGTTGTCCATGTCATTGTAAACTGTGAAGTTCACATATTTTTGCTGAAAATTGGTATGTTAAATTACATAATTTAAGAAATATATTTTGATCTTCGCTTTCAAGTTTCATCCTCATCCATTCCAAATTGCTGTAAACTGTAAAGCACTGTCCAGTTACAATCAAGTATGTAGATAGGTAACATGGAAAACTAGAGCTGGGCCCTAGTGGAGTAAAAACTGCATTAGACTTCACTAAGAAATAAGAATTTAATCAACCTATTATGGAAGTGGATAGTTAAGTTGTTCTTGAACTATGTATTACATTGTTAATAGAAATTCAGCTTCAAAAATGAATTTATGGTTGATTGTATATACACGCCCACACACACACACACAAACCTTTTACTTTGAAAAGTTTACCCCGTAAGTGGTAAAGATGAAAATATATATCATTGATATGGATTGCTGCCTTTATCAATTAAACCTTTACTTCGTAAAGTTTACCCCGTAAGTGGTAAAGATGAAAATATATAACATTGATATGGGTTGCAGCCTTTATCAATTAATTATCTATTCCATTTCTTTGTCTTGTATTAGGTCCGGGAGTATGCTATACTTCTAAATCTGGGTTCACTACGAGCAATAGCAATGCAAGATTGTGTACTTATATTTGACTATAATCGGTATTGTTTTAATTCTAAAATGATTCATAAATTATGGGATGCATCACTGTCATTATTCCTTAGATTAAACAACAAAATACACTAAGACCTTATGTTGATATTTATCAGTATAGGAGGAAAAGCTTTTCTAGAGACATTGCTGCCTCGATTGAACCCCAAGAACAACAATGGAGGGCCATCAATGCCATTTGAAATTGAGGTTAGTCTTGAATAGGAGAAAAAGAAAATAGAGTTGCAGTCACTCCCGACATACTATTGTGCACTAATGCTATGACCTTGTGTTCTGCTATATCATTGAGACAACAAGGAGATCAGAAGTCCTATGAGACAATAAGAAAAAAGAAATTAATTTGAAATTAAATATGGTTTATTTTCAAGGGTTGAAATGTGATAGAATATGAAAATAGAATGCATTTCTTCCTAATTTAACTCTGAGGAATGAGGAAACAAGATAGATATTAGAATTATAGTTCAGTACATGTTTATGGCTCAAGGTTTAGTAAAAATAAAGATGGTGGTTATAGAATTGCAGTGGATGTTTAGGAATACTAATATAAAATAATGACAATATTATAAAGTGGTAACTTAAGTATAAATATGAAACAGAAGGATCTAAGCATGGTAACAATTACAAGTGCAGAAGGCCAAGAAAAGTGTGGCCTTAAACAGAAAGCACATAGGGGACTCAACTGTTTTTTACTTTTGGGCAGTCAATTTCCATTTTCCAAGTAATTGGGTCCATGGCGTGTTGCTTGTGGGGGATACCCTCTTCTTACAACTTAAAGGAATTTAAATATGACTGTTTATATGAGCTTTGCATATAATGAGCTGGTTACTGTGGGTGTAAATTTTTTCGTCATTTTGTATATTGTTGAGCATCATTTGGCTTGTCATCTTTGACATACTGTTGTGAACTTTCTTCCCCTAAGTCATTTGGTGGAACTTTCAGGTTGTTGAAGCAGCATTGCTTTCAAGAATACAGAGATTGGAGCAGAGATTGATGGACTTAGAACCTCGTGTGAGTATGGGAACACAGTGAGTAACTGAGTATATTATGTTAATTCTTTGTGTGTATGCTTACAGATGTGTTTGTCTATTTTTGTTTTTTATGATTTTGATAAGTAGTTATTTCCCAACCTGCCTCTGAATAAAAACTGGTAGGATATTTTTGGTCTACTATCTCTCGTGTAATATGTTCCACCCACTCCATGCAGACATTCTATAAAATCTTGCATCATAAAGTGCATCTCATGCTGCTTTATGACATACTTTTAGCATATCGTGTATCCAGAAGCAGAAACTTTTTTTTTTTATGGAGTATATTTGGGTTTTCGCTTGTGGGATTTATAACAGATTATAATACATTTACACCTCTCTATCTCTGAATTCACTCCTCAATTGGAACTTTCTCTCCCTCTTCCCTTTGGTCCTAGGTACAAGCTCTTCTTGACGCCTTGCCTAATCGCTTAACTGGTGACATCTTGGAGCAGCTTCGTATTAGCAAACAAACTTTGGTATTTTTGTGTCTAGATACTTTTAACCAATTTTAAGTGGTTCTGGATAAAACTAGATATTCATTTGCTTTCTGCCAAATTGCTAGGTTGAGTTAGGTTCTAAGGCAGGAGCTCTCAGACAGATGCTGCTTGACCTTCTGGAGGATCCCCATGAAATACGCCGTATGTGTATCATGGGAAGAAACTGCACACTTAATAAAGGAAATGATGATATGGAATGCTCAGTGCCTTTAGAAAAGCAGATTGCTGAGGGTAAGCTATTTTAATGCTAAAGGTGTTTTTTGTTGCTGATATCAATATGGATCTTTCCATTCCACTGTAGAGCTATAACATTGCTTCTCATTCTTTTTTCTCATGATATGTAGAGGAAGAGGAGGAAATTGAAATGCTTTTGGAAAATTATCTTCAAAGGTTATTCTCATTCCAGATATGTGCATTACATTTCATAATTGATTATTTGTAGTACACCATACTGTTACATTTGTGAATTTTCCCAATAGATATATAAGTCACATCCCAAGAATTGAGACAGACAATGTGAGGATTTCCAACACATACAACATTATTACATACCTTCATGGCCTTCCTTTGGTCATGTTTAAGATGGCAGCAGCCACAGAATTAACATGGAAGAAACAAGTTGAAAACCTTAACCCTTCACCTATCATTACTATTCATACACAAGACTTCTATGTTACAATCCCATGGATTATAGATATACAGAAAGCTTTCTGTTAAGTTGTCCTGCAGAGGCTAGGGAAATGATCCAAGTGGTTCTTATAAAATTTGAGCAATCCCCCCTCTTTGATTTAGGTTTTGGGGTTGAGTTAGACCAATCCATTTCAGTTGCTCACTTGTCCATATTACAATGTGTGAAGGGAATCTGCATGCAGAAACAAGTCTCGTAAAGCTTTCAAAATTCACACAATTAGTTGATTATTCAAGAAATTGTTTTTTGTTAAGTCTGCCATTTTTTAATGATTTCATCACAAAATTGATTTCTCTAAATGCACTTGCAGATGTGAATCTTGTCATGGTCAAGCCGAAAGGCTTCTTGATTCTGCAAGAGAAATGGAAGATTCTATATCTGTCAGTTTGAGGTTTGAATATCTTTTTTCTCTCTTGATAATTGATTGTAGATAATTGCATTGATTACGTAATTTGATGCTAGTAATTTTAGTGCTCTTCTAAAGCCATGACTATGCCAACCGTGTTGGGAGGGCCATCTTTGGATACAATGTGACAGCACAGGCTCAGAAATCACATAAGGCATTGAACAATTTGATTTCCCATATTGTCTATGAACTCGAAATCATGGTATAATATTATGATATTTAAGGACTTCAAACAAGACAAGTGAAGATCAATCAAAGAATTTCAAAATGCATATCTCACTATTAAGAATGCATGATATATTGTGTGCTCTTACTGTAAAATTAAAAGAACATTCTCAGCCACTATATATTAGGTTAATTTAAACTCAATTCAAGAAAAGCGATTTGTTGGCATCAATAACTCTATCTATCACACTACAAATGTTCTAATAAAATTGATTTCATTCAACAGTTCACGAAGGCTTGAGGTTAGCAGAGTAGAACTGCTTCTGCAGGTTGGAACATTCTGTGTGGCAATAGGTGCCCTCGTAGCAGGTATAGAGTTTGGATGTTTATTTGATGCGATGTATACAATGGGTTGTATAAAAGTAAAATCACCCGTAGTTTAACCAAAATTTATTAAATCAATCATACTCAAGTTCACATTAACCAGTTAACTTACAGTAAAATTAACCAGTAATCAAAGTGATCTCAAACTTGGTTAGTTATAAATTTTGTTAATGTTTTAGATGGCATCAAAACAACCAATTATTCTCATGTATTAAAATTTAATAAAATATTATTGATCAGTTCTGAAGTTTCGCTAAAAACATATGAACATGTATTTTACCATTTAATCACCTAAATTTGGCACTATGTGATCATGTCACCATTTGCTGTTTTAATATACTTATCTATAAAGGACTTGAGATTTAGAATAGGATGTATTGATTTGATCTTAACATGCAAGTTACATAAGAAATTTTGGTTATACGGTGTGAATAATAATTATGTAAAATGCAGGGGACAGGTTTATTATCTGAGACAAAAATATGTTTATTGCCTGATTTTATTAAGATATATTTTGGTGGCTTCAGGTATATTTGGCATGAACCTGAAGTCCTATCTTGAGGAACATGTGGTATGTGAGTTGGTGTCCGAAGTCTTATTCCATGCATGTTTTGCTTGATTCTTATTGGAAGCTGCTGCCGATTAGTCTTTTTAAAATAACCGCGTTTTTTTATCTGATGCAGTTTGCATTTTGGCTGACGACAGCAGGGATAATTGTTGGTGGCATTATTGCTTTCTTTCTGATGTATTACTACCTCAGAGCTAGGAAAATATTTTGATTGCAAGAAACTTCAAAGTTAGGTAATTTTAACCTGTTTTCCTGGCAACACAGCTCTAAACTTTTTTCTTCCGAGATCTTGAGTATAGACAGAGCCGTGGATCTATTATCGTGATATTGCCTATATAACATCTTTAACCCATGATATTTTCAAGAATTCCAATGACTTACCGAGGTTTATAATCAACATAACCACATTTTTGTATGAAGTCTTCGAACCTGAAGGCTGAAGGGAATCTAATTCATTTTTCAGGTGATGTCAGGTTGTGAACAATAGTAAGCACCCAAAAAGTTCAGTAATGTACACCAGGATCAATCATCCAAAATGGATTTCAAAGTATGCATGATGGCACATTGGCACTCACATTGTCATTGCTGAGCTGTGACGAGCGTTAGTTTTTATTCTTGTTTTGGAGGAGGGGGGTATACATTCTTTGTTTGCTTCGTGAGTTCATAATATATATGGCTATGATAGCCATGATAGCTTGTCAGCCATCAAGAGATCATTCGATTGTTGTCTGGGGGGGTGGGGGAGGATGTACACTAAAACATTATTCAACTTACGATGTTACTCGCTATCTTTAGGTTCAAGGTTACTACCATATGCAGAGACTGCATAAAAAAGGTAGTGGAATGCAGACGTCAATCAGCATTTTAGTTGGGTACTACAACCAAATTTTTAGGGTGGTGATGTTTGTCTAAAATCAGTAAACCAGGTAATAGAAGGACATAATGTGCTTGGTTGCATACGGTGCATGAATTGAATTATTGAACCACATATTAGAGAGAAATTAAGTAGTATAAAATTTACACCATAATAATCATGAACAACATCTGGCTCCTTTAATTATCGGTTTGACCCGCTTAAGTTTTTCTGAAAGTTTGAAAGATAAGAGTAAGATAACTGCACCCTCATCCTCTAATAAAACCCAGTGATTCAAATTCTCCTTGTTCCTCGCACGGCCTGTGAAAATTCGTTTATTTTTGGTTGCCTGAGCCTGTGATGCAAACTGAACAACATACATGTGACTTTCGAACTGTAATTGCATGACTTACATCTTAAGATTCAAACAAAATTAAAAAATTCAATTAAGAGGCTTAAATAACTTTTTAGTCAATGTAAAATAGGGTATTTTTTATTTTAATCCTTTTAAAAATTATTTTTTCATTTTTGTCTTTATAACTTTTTTTTTTTTGGTTTGTTTTTGTTCTTGCCACTGGATTTATTGTCAAATCTAAAAAATTATATGGACCAAAATAGAAAAATAAGAAAATTTTAAAGACAAAATTGAAAAAGGACTAAAATAAAAATAGCAAAAACTTGAGAAGAATAAAACGAAAAAAACTAAAATTGAGAGGATTAAAATGGAAGTAATTAAAATCATGAGAATTAGAATTAAAATAATATTATTTTAAAGAGACTAAACTTTTATTTAAATTAAATTTCTAAAAACTTTAATCTATTCTTATACAAAGTGAAAGTTTAATTTTTGTTGACCATCTAAAAAACTGAGTCTTAAACATAAAATTTCATAGAAGTCATTTAGGAAAACTGTAATCACCTTCAAGTTATGAAGGAAATATAACAAATGAATAAAACATAAAATATGACACAGATGTCAATTAGTTGTAACATACAAACATAAAATAATATAAATTGTGTTTAATGTAATCTATGAAACATATAGGTGTGATGTAAAAAGAATGTTATAATGAAATTTTGTTAATTCTTCATCTAATTTATTTATTAATTTATGCTCATGTGCTACATTTTTTGTTTTATCTCTACCTTATTTTATATTTATTTGTTATATTTACTTTTTGTACATTTATAATAGTGATTGTGTCATCATGACTTTTTTATGAAATTATATGTTTAATTTTTATAAATAAAAAAATATTCACAAATGCATTCATTATAACTATTTTTTATTATGTATTAGAGCATTTATTGTATTTAAAGTTTAAATTTATAAATTTGACTCACATAAATTTTTAAACCCTATAAAATAAGGTTGATTTTATTTTAATCTTTTTAATTTTAGTTATTTTTATTTGATCCTCTCAAATTTTGGGTGATTTTGTTTTTGTACTCTCAAATTTTAGTTATTTTTGTTTTGGCCCTTTTTCTATTTTTATCCTTATAAATTTTTCGCCTATTAGTAATGTATGCCACAGTACTATGCCTGTATCACTGATTCACTGTATGGCAGTAGAACCTAAAATTTAAACTGAATGGTCAAAAGCAGTGACTCCGTAGCTCAAACAACAATCATAGACGAAAAGGAAACTACGACATAAGCAAGTCACCTGCCCCGTAATCAGTCACCGATCGAGTAAGATTCAGAAGAAGAAAAAGTAGAAAGATATATTTACGAATAATTATATATATTGGGCAAAAGAAAATCCGGCCATAAAGTAACCATACATAAAACATGAAGATTGAGAATCCGCTTTTTAATGATTAAAGCCAGTTACATGAAGAAAAAGTAAAGTACCTAACGCTTTCAGGAAAAAAAAAATACTATAATTGTAAGGAAGATTTCTTTCTAAAAGAAGTACATTAATTTATATATTAAAAAATCATTTCACATTGTCTCACAAAGACCAACAATTTAACAACTATTATATGCACTTGCAATGATTTTCATTTTATATTTTTCTTCAACAGCCATTATATGCCCTAAGCTCAATTTTAGGTTAAAAACTAAAATGTAAATTACCAAAACTAGGAAATAAAAAGATGCAGTTTGTAAAATCTACAGCAACAAAATTTAATATGGCACAAAAAATAATAACTCATTAAAATGTACAGTTCGAGCACCTCAAATATAGCACTTCTGAAGAGATGAAAATCTAACCTAGGGAGAAGCCTCAAACAAACTCTCCAAGAAAGTAAAAAAAAAAAACTCGTAGTTATATCACAGTGCAGTTTCTGTAATAGGTGACTAGCTACCCTGAATGGGGTTTCCCAAAATACAACCTCTTGAATATGACCTTGGTTGCTTAATATAACAGTTAAATATAATATGAATCTCCAAGGACCATCTAGGCTTACCATATAAACAAAAACAGGTGCATACCCCATCCAAACAAACCAATTTGTTTCTATTCTGAAGGCTTTCATAGATTGGAACTCTTAGAGTGGCTTTGGATTTCCATCTATGACCATATTTCCCATACCAACTTCCACAGCCTCCTCCTCAGAATTTTCCCTTTGCTTCTTTTCAGATATCTCGCCGCCCTCAATAGCATCATGCTGCACTGTAGTCAATGAGGGCTCGAGAGTCCGGGGACCTGCATGGAACCATGGATGCTGAAGGCATTGTGCAGCCGTTGGCCTCTTTTCAGGGACAAAATCAAGTAATGGAAGAAGGAAGTCAGCCATGCTATTTGCATCTTGTTCACTGAATTCATACTTTTCCATCATCACCTTATTAAGAGGCCAGAAACGCAACCGACGGATGTGCCTCAAATCACCATATCTGTTGAAATAATCGCGGGAATAGCGTCCACCAAGTGCAATCTGAAGGCAATAAATGTTCAATTTTTGTGGAATGGAACAGATAAAATTTTGATAGTAATCAATTAAAACCAGATTGCATAAAACTACCATTTTTTTATGAAAAAAGAAGAAATCATTTAAAAAGCAAAACAGTATAATAAAATAGCATCAGGAAATGGTGCCTATAATATGTTGAATATTTTTTCTTGATCATATCAACATGCAAACCTATAATAACAACTCAGATGATTTACAGCTAAAGGCCAAACATGCCTACCTTGCGAGGCATCATCCCAAGAAGCTCCATCATCAATGCCAGATGATCCTGTAGAGTAAATTCCAAAATGTCAACACTAATTCATAGATTGGAATTGAAGTCCAGATAACCACAGCAGTACTTAACATTTTTATTCATTTATCCCATGAAAATAGGAATTTATGACATTTTCAGTAGCTATATGCAAGACAGTATACATTATATGAAATGAAACACGGGTTTAGAGCCAATAATTTTAAACGTTATTTGGCCTCTATTGGTGGTCTAAACTTCAAAAGTTTTAATAATTAGCGAAGCATAGTGAAGCTTCAATTCTAAGATCACCAAATGAATAAATGAAAAATATGTTCAAAATTAGAGAAGATTGCAACATCTTTTGACAAGAGCACATTTATTTGAAGAAATGCTTTATATGAGTAATCTACTAGCATAACTTTACAGATTGTGAGCTAAATCTCCATTCAACCTTCAGAAGACAAAGCTGAGCACAATTAAAATTATTAATTATAGAATACGTCTGCTTGGTTGGCTGTAAGAAAAGGTGAGAGAAGTAGGATAGAAAGTAGATGAGGAAAGAAATTGAGTATATTTCAAGTTGCTTGAATTTAGAGAGGAAAAACAGTGGAAGAGAAATAAAACCAGAAAAGTTTTGATATGAAGATATTTTATTCCATAAAATTTACAGAATTAATCTTTCTATTGTTAAAAGAATAGTGGTAAGGGTGAAATGGGGATTTGAAGGGCCTCCAATGAAAGTCTACAATTGAAGAGAAAGAAGGAATAAGGGCAGTTTAGCGAATGGGGTAGAGAATTCAGCTATACATGTCCCTGAATGAAGAGACACTTGCAATAGGATACTGGAGTGAAGGATAAAAAAATCAAAGGAAAGGACGTGATTAAAGGGGGTGTAGAAGAAAGGCACGGGATGTGTAATTTGGTAGTGGCAAAAGTCAAAGGGCAGGGAAGCACTGCTTCTTTGATATCTTTCTTTTTGCTTTGATCATTCTATATTCCTACAATTATAATTACAGCTTTGAATTCCTTCCTGTTGTTCCTATACTGATTTCAGTATCTATCAAGTAGTATCAGAGTTTTCCAGCATGTCTCTCAACTGCAAAGGAGGGCACAGGTGGTGACATTGACATTGAAGCGTTAACCTAGGAGCTTAGTGCACAGTCAACCCACATGGGCAGCAAGGCTGCGGCATGTGGTTGGATACAAGAAACCGATTGCAAGGCCAGAGACTTTGGGTCCAATTGGAAGCCTGGTATTCTAGTGTGAGGTTTTTAAGGTCTTGGATTCTCCAACTACAACTAGCTTTTGAAGTGAGGTTCTCTTAGGGTTCAAGTTAATTGGTATCTTCTATAATAATAGGTGTGATTCTCTTTGTTGGAAAGTTACCCTAATTGCGATCACCCCTATCCTACCTTTGTTGCAACTTCTTTGGGGGTTGCCTTAATGCAGAATCAAGGGTGGTGTTTAGCCTCACACTGGGTATAGATATGACTTAAATAGAGCTTATAAAGACTGTCCAGTTCTCACCTTAAAAGTTGATTTTGTTAGGTTAAAGTAGAGCTTCAGCTAAAATTCCAAGATAAAGGTATTACCAATTTTTAATACATTTACTTAACAAAACAAGAAGAAATAATTTTTAATGTAGATGTGATTCTAACAGTATGAGAAGGTACAAAATTGAATTGTACGATTGAATAAGAATTTAACCAAACTGTTAAGGACAACTAATTTCAGAAGAAAAAAAAAAGCCAATCTTCATAATCAATAATGATATTAATATTAACAGCAAGCATTATATGATTGTCGCCAGAAATGAAGCCAGCCAGTTCTTTTGAAGTCCAAACACCTGCACTTACCTCATCCCTATCATAGTTATCACCGCTATGAGGATCAAAAAGAACATCGCCTGCGGCAAGCTCAAAGCAAATGCATGCAAAGGACCATAGATCTGCTGGAGTTGAGTACTTAGATCCAAGGAGGACCTCAGGACACCTATACTGCCTTGTCTGAATATCATTTGTGAATTGTTTATAAGTCCAACAACAAAAAGAACATCGCCTGCGGCAAGCTCAAAGCAAATGCATGCAAAGGACCATAGATCTGCTGGAGTTGAGTACTTAGATCCAAGGAGGACCTCAGGACACCTATACTGCCTTGTCTGAATATCATTTGTGAATTGTTTATAAGTCCAACAAGCATTACCAAAATCAACCAGCTTGCACTTAAGATCAACAGCTGCAAGCAACTCCTTTCTTCTAGAGCGGCTACCCCTCCTATGACCATGACTTCCTTCAGGAATATCCTTATTTACAGAATTCTTTGATGATTCATCTTTACTCACGGGACTACTTGGTTTAATTTCACCAGATTCTAAACTTGGTTTCACATCATTACTACAATCATCTTGCTCATTAGGTTCTTTTGAATCCTCCTCAGCTTCCTCACCATCTTCCTTCCCAACACAGCCTTGAGCTGCCTTTTTAGCCTTTTTCCGCAATTTCTTTTTCTGGTTCTTGGTCAGATCTCCATTCAAACTTTTATTAGCCATTGTAGTCCCATTCTTGGTCACAATCTTATCCCTTGTATTTGGAAGGATAAGTGGAACGCCTGATTTTCTAGGGTCCTTAGATGGATCTATTGGATACAGAAGCAAAACATTCTCAGGTTTCAAATCTGTGTGTATTACTTTAAGCTCACGATGCAAGTAATCCAAACCCACCAAAATATGGAAACAAATTTCCTTCACCATGGGAAGAGGAACCCCTCGATAATCACTATACTTGATAAGGGTGAGGAGATTATCACCAAGGAATTCAAAAACCATACAAACATGCTGGCCATTAGGCCCTGAATGCTTAAAGTGATCCAAAAGCTTTACTACACATTTCTTGTCATCTGGATCCCCATCAGCAATTTGTTTGAGAATCGTTATTTCATCCATTGCCGCTTCAGTGTAATGAGGAGCACTCTTCTGAATTTTTAAGGCAACATATCTCTACAAACAAATAATTTAGAACATCACTAATAAAGTTCCAAACTATAGATTGCCGTGTGCATGTTAACTAAGAATTGAAAGAATGAAGAATAAAATATGCCTTGTTAGGGTAAACTTCTCTATAAGTACTTATAACAGACAAATGAGAAAAAAAGAATTGAGTTTCTCCCACAAGTTAAAAACCGCTTATGTACTTAACCTTTATAGAAGTTCTTCTCATCTAACATCTTCGAATGCTAAGATGCATAGGTTGATATTAAATTATGGGAGAAGCTCAATACATTGAACCTTTTTTTTTCTTCTGCAAGTGCTTTGGAGAAGTTTATCCAAACAATGTCATAGTCCTAAAGTTAAATGCCACCTAATCACAGCAACACTAGTGTCACACAGTAGACATGATCAACAACATAGCAAATTAGAGAGAGCAAAGCAACCAAAAAACAAATAACTACTCACAAAATGTGTTAGCAGGAGGGGAGAGAGAGAGAGAGATCAATAGCAAGAATAAAATAAAAAAGAAATCAAGCAGCAGAACCTAGGGAGATCCTTTTATTAGATGAATTTTTTTGAACGATAAATTTTACCTAAGAACCAACCATTGACCAATAATGAAAAATATAAAATCCAATAGTGATAATCAATTTGAATCACCAACAAAACGAGGCTTGGCTATGGCAAATCCTTTGTTTAATAATCCCATAACACACACAATAAAAAAATTATAAATAAATAAAAATAAAATAAAATAAAAAAGAGTTTGATAAATAGAAACAAAATCATACACTTAGTTCAAAACCCTATACACATAAACTCCTTCACAACCCAGATAAAGGACAAAACTCAAACTATCTAAACTAATTGCAACTAGTCAAAAGCTTTCATCTTTTTTATCCCAGAGTTGTGTTTTGAGGAAACAAGCAAACGGGCACGCACCGATTTGTGAGTGTCCCAAGCGAGCCAAACAGTGGAAAAATGACCCCAACCAAGCTTGCTCTGCACAACATAACACCCATTCTTGAAAGTGTCACCAATCTGAACCGCATGGTACCCTCCGCGCCTGTAATCTTCGGTTCCTTCGTCCTCCGAACTGTAATCACTCACCTCACTGCGGTCCTCCTCCATTGAAGGACCTTCAAACACAAACACACTCTGAGATTACAGAAGGGAAAAATTGAGGAAGAAAAATTGGAAATTTCAACAATGATGAATCGATTCGTCCAATGGTGAGAAATGTTAGAGTGAGGAAGAGACGAGAGAAGGCCTCGAATTCAGGGAAGAGTGGAGATGGGAAATTAGGGTTTTAAGTTGGTGTTGTTGCCGGGAAAACAATGGAAGAACTAAGAAGAGATGAATTTCTCTCGAGTACGTCACGTTTTACCATTCTAAATATAAGTAATAAAATAATCGGGTGGTGCATAATTTAATTTTGGTCATTTTTGTTATTTCTTTTTTACAAAAAAAAAGTTTAAACATGGATAGGAGTGGATGATTTCTAAAGGGGACCAATATATTATATAGTTCATGATAGAAAAAAAAAGTGTAATTTTTATGTGATTCACTAGTAAAAAAATTTCTAAAAAAAATATGTTAGATATATAGATAATTAAATTGAATAGTTCAAATTCATTTGATGATAAAAAAAGTTATTAATGTATTAATTTTATTTTTTATAGTAAATGATCATTTTGTTTAAAAAATTTGTTTGATCTCCTCTCTCGAATTCAATTCGTAACTTATTTTGTGTCACGTGATAGGTTTTGGCAAACCTCAACATAAGTAAGGTCTTCGTGCGCTTCAGGTTGGTTCCACTCTACAACTTAGAGCTTGACAATAATAGTAGCAAAGGTGCCTTGAGGATTCTAAGAAGGTGGCGTCGTTTGCAAAGACATTGATGTCATGCGCAAATAATGGTGGTGGGTTCTTTGTGTCGCGATACTACACATCTTTTTGGAGTTTGGAGCTCAATGACGACAACAACGAAGAAACCTCAAAAAGTTTAAAAAAGTTGTCGTCGTTCGCAAAGACGTTGATGTAGTTGGACGCAAACAACCAAAGGTTCTTTGTGTCGCAGTCGAACCTTTAACCTTTAGTCCCAAACCCCTAACACTTCTTATTCAGTGATGTTGATTTTGACAATAACAGCAAACCTTAACTCCGACAATGACGACAACATTGACATTAACAACTGCACAACACTCTTTATCATCATTGACCTCGACTCGAAGCACTACGTGAAGCTATACACCACCATGATTGAAGCGATGACCACACAACACTACACATGACTACAAGTACGTGTGGCAAGTGTGCTTTTAGATATTGGCTCGAATCTATTAGATGACCTTGACTCAGAGCACTCCATGAAACTTTTGGGAGAGGTTGGTGCAAATCTACACCACCACGAGCGAAACGACAACTTTGCAGTCATGACCGGTGTGAGGAAGATGTTGAATTAAAAAAAATAGTAATTTTAAATAATTTAAATAAAAATATAAAATAAAAAAGAATTATTATTGTTCACTTGTGCACTAATGGACAATATGTTAAACTTGTTTATCGTAGTCATCACCATAGGAGTGAGTATGACCCAAATTGGGTTGACTTAAGGTTGATTTGAGCATGCTTGAGTTTTGAAATTGAATGTTGTCTATTTTTAGGACATGTTCAGATTAATTTTTTTATAGTAATTGCTTGTAATTCATTTGCATGAAATCAAAATTGCTAATAATCATCGACGAATCTATTCTTAAGCCTTACACACATTTCTCTTCACATGATGGGAGTTGGTTATGCCTAAAGTGGTTATCTTGACCGCAAGGAGAGAGATACCAAAGATAAACAACTCAATTTAATATATAATACTATCTTATAAAGTATAAGTTTTATTGAATTATTGCATATTAATAATAAAAATTGTCTAGTTATTAATATACTTATAACATGATATTATATTTATAATGAAATTATTATTTTAAAAATGTATATTTTAAAATACAACTTAAATTTAGTTTTGCACTTCTTTAATTTATAATTTAATTATACATAATGTTGAAATCAACATCTTATATATTAAACACAAAATTCTATCTTGTATAAGAGTATTTTTTAAGAGTTTTTTTTTCAACGAGAGAGTTTGTAAGAATTTCTAAACTTTTCATTTAATTGAGTTTTTACTTATCATAATTATTTATAAATAAAATATTAATATTTTAAAATAATTTATCAACAAATAAAATAAATTGTTACGATACAAATTATTTGTCATAAAATTAAAATATATTTTACATGTTTAAAATTATTTATGTATACTAATTTTAAATATAATTTATATATTTAAACATAACATTTATTTCTCTCTCTCTTTCTATATATATATATATATATATTTATTTATTTATTT